GATAGCCACTCCTCGCCGAGTAGATCGAAATTCATATTAAGGTCAAAGAAGGCCGGTATGTAACCGGGGTTCAATTGGGTTTGGGCTTCGTACACATCCAGCTGTGAGATGGTGTTAACCACACCGGGTTCTGGAACTACCTTGGGCTCGGCGCCATGCTGAGGCGGCGGGCCTCCGGCCGAGACCTGGACGGGAGAGTGATGCGGCACGGCAGAGTTGTCCGGCCCATTTCCGCCAGAGTTTGGTTCTACATTGTCCCTTGTATTTTCCTTGAGAGGCAAAGGCTTCTGTTTGAGCTTGGCGTCAGGGGCAATACGTTGCTGAGACGAGTCAGATGAGGTAGTTTTATCATCTACACGCGATCTCGTGTAGCGAGAATTAACGAAGCGCACGCGGTAACGAAGCGTTTCCGTAGAATTTGCCCGATTAGGCTCATAAGAGCAAGTTAAAGAAAGACGCGTGCATGCGTTGCAAATAGGTTTCGTCTCGTCGCACCGTACTTTGCGGCGACGGCACGAGGAACAACCTGTCTTGGATCTCGCTGGCCGAGTTCGATTCATGTTTGTTGTGAGATTGGAAGACTAACTTTGACTAATTGATGGGTTGGGATCCATTCTAGGTACACATTAGGTGGACGGTGAAAGAGACCCTGGAAGGAGCCAACGGGATGTGGATATGATCCACTTTGCGGGGTACGGTTGACCAGACTAACAACTGTGCCAAAATGAAAAAAGTTATGCCAAACTAAGCTAAAGTTGGTAGGAGGTCACTTGCCACAGTTTAGAAAATATTAAATGTGTACTTCCAAGCCTCATTACGGCTTATTATAATACACATATTGATTTAACCAGTATATTCTAAAAGATTGACCAATCAAATTAAAGCATTCAATTGTCAATTCAATTCAATTCAATTTCAACTACCACATCTACACATTTACACATTCGAATAACTTTACGATTTTAGCAACTACAACATTATAATTGGTACTATTATATAGCTTTAATTGATGCGAAAATAATAATTCAAGTTGCATGCTTATACGTCGTGTTTTTACACCATTATAATGTAAATGAAAAAAGCCTTATTCGAGAAACCGGGTATAGGTCTTTGGGATGTACCCGACCGTATATACTTGCTAGCACGTGACACCCTTTACAAGCACCTCGATGAAGTCTTTTCAACTAAGCTCCGAATACTTTAATAGCAATATAATACTCAATGCTCATCGCATAGGCATGCAACTTGGACCATTAGTTTCGCATCAATTAAGGCTATTAGATAGTACTAATCATAATGTTTCAATTGTTGTTTCTGTGAAGTTATTTTAATGTATAAATGTAGTAGTTAATATTGAATTGAATTGAATTGACAATTAAATCCTTTAAAGTTGATTGGTTGATCTTTAAAAGTAAGCATACCCTTTAAAACCATATAGTATTTAATGTTATAAGGTATGTATTTATAAAGAATGATTCATTTTTCGTATATAAAATGCGAAGTACCGTGATAGATCGAGCTAATTGCACTAACCTGTGGCTAATTACCCTTTTAAGCTAAGTTCGCATAACTTTTTTCATTTTGGCACAGTTGTTAGTCTGGTCAACCGTACGGGGCCTCGGAATTGCTCTTACTTATCTGGGCGAGTTCCTAGGCAAGTTGGCGAAGAACGAACGACATCTTGAGAAACTACGCAAGCTCTTACCGTACGATACCTAGTAGATATACTAGTAGTATTACCCTAGTAAGTTTAGTACCTAAAATGCCTTAGGAAGTAGGTACCAAGTCGCCTAAGTAGGTAATTTCAAATGTCGCTAATGAGGAAATCAATGCAGACAATACGCTATCATTATGCCTACCCTGTGTTATTGCCCTATACGGAATTTGTATACAGATGGAGATAACAGGTAGTAATAGTTAACCAACAGACCAACAAGTCAAACTAAAACTTCTTTTACCCACCCAGCCTTATCCTAGCTTCAACACCAATTTCTCCCGCATGCTTCCTTTTAACGGCGGCATAGAGATAGGGCGTAAGATCATCGCGAGTAGCTTTATAAGGCGATGACAAGCAAGTAGGGCGTCTTGACAATCAACCCGACTATTGTCGCTTCGTTCTACTTTATTCTTCGGCGTTTAATAGACCCTGTCTCTAAGCACGCGCCCGGACGGCACAGAAATATCCAAAATGGAGAAGAACCCGGATAGGACCACAGCTGAGTCTGTACGCGATGGGAGACCAGATGATGTCGACAATGCGTACGAGTTTGCAAAGGAGCACGCCGTCGGCCCCTTGAGTGACGAGGATAATAAACGCATCTTGCGCAAGATCGATCACCATCTGTTACCCCTGGTATACATACACTGATACATTAAAAACCTCGTCCATCTAGTCGCATTGACCAATTGCTAACGATATCTGGCAGATGATCATCACCTATACTCTGAACTTCATGGACAAGAATGCCCTCTCCTATTCGGCCAATTTTGGTCTCATCACTGATAACGTGCGTTTTTAATAGTTTCTCATCCGTAAATCTGTAAGGCGACTAAGTTTTACTGCCTTAGAACCTAGTAGGAAACCAGTACAGCTGGGCCTCCGGATCCATTTTCTATCTTACGTACATGGTTTCCCAGCCTTTTGTCGCTCGCCTGATTGTTCGGTTCCCTATCGGCCGCTTCGTCGCCGTTGCTACCACACTTTGGGGCGCTGTGTTGATGACCACGGCGGCGTCGCGTTCTTTTGCTAGTTTAATGGTCATCCGTGCCATCCTAGGTTGTCTAGAATCTTGCATCAACCCCGCCTTTATTGTCATATCCTCTCAATGGTGGACGCGCGACGAGCAACCGCTGCGGATTTCGTACTGGTATCTCGGTAACTCGATCGGCCAAGTCTGTGGTGGACTTCTCGGTTATGGTATTGCTCATATCACGAACCATAATGTTCCGAACTGGGGCTGGTTCTTCCTAATTTTCGGTGCCATCACCATCCTCTACGGCAGCTTCCTGTTTTACTACCTCCCTGATTCACCATTGAATGCTCGTTGGCTTTCCGACCATGACCGAGCCTTGGCCATCGAGCGTGTTCGGAGCAACCGTACTGGAGTCGAGAATCACGTATGGAAGTGGTCACAGGTCAAGGAGTGTGTACTGGATATACAGTGCTGGATTCTTGTAGCAACATTTTTCCTCGACGATATCCCTTCTGGCGGAGTTGGTTCGTTTGGCAGCATAGTAGTCAAGGGGTTTGGTTATGAAACTCTCTATTCAACCCTTCTTCTAGTACCCTTGGGTGTGATCCAAGCCATATGCATCCTCTTCGGAGGTTTCATGACCAGGCGCTTCAAAAACATCCGAACTTGGCTTATCGCTGGTATGTGTTTCTCGACACAAACGTATCTCTTCACTCATTTTTTTCGCTGACCGTACCTTATTTAGGTTGCCAAATTCCGGCGCTTATCGGAGCGGTTCTGCTCTACACTCTGCCTCGGGAAAATTCGCGTGGGCTGCTCGGCTCGTACTATATTGTACAAACGCATGGTATAGTCGGCACACTCACCATGTCGCTGGTGGCTAGTAATTTTGCTGGATATACGAAGAAAGCTACCGCATCCACGATGATGTACGTAGCCTTCTGCGTCGGACAGGTCGTTGCTCCTCAGCTTTTCCTCACAAGCGAGGCGCCAGCATACAAAACCGCCTTTCTCGCTGCTTTCGTATGCTTTGCTCTGTGCATCGTGTTCACCATTGTTCTACGATTCTACCTTATTTGGGAAAATAAGAGACGAGACCAACTTCACTTGACAGAAGGCGAGCTTAGCAACACCGACGACGAGTTCCTCGACCTGACGGATAAGCAGCAAAAGGCTCATTTCCGTTATGTCCTCTAGGAAATAACATTCGCTACATGGGGTGATCTGTAGGAAGATAGGTAACATCTATGTGTGCCTCCTGTTTGGTAGGAAGGACGTATCTATGCATATTATGAATTTCTAATACCTACCTAATATACAGCGGAGATGCAATGAGCGACGTGTTGCTAGCGGGAGTTTCTAAGCGATCTATTATTGGAGGAATGAATACATCATCTATTACGAGGTTAACGTGGAAGAGAAGAGGAAAGGAAACGGGGGGCTCTTTGCTTGCAAGCACGAGTTGCAAAATGAAACTACCAACATATTACATATTACATTCCTACCATATTTCAAAGCTACATCTATGTCTGTCTATATGTAGGATTTGTAATATTCATAACATAATAATCTTCTATCTCGCAGCCGTTGGTTGCATTGCATATTGTTCTTATATAATGCATTGATCACTGAAACTAAGCTTTAGTAACTCACGAGCTAACATTGTTAGGCGCGGGGTTCCCCGGACTACCAAGCCAGCGGAACGGAGCCGAGATAAGTGAGTTGTTCTTAGTTAAAGATAGGAAGGGTTCTAGGATGTAAACCTTGCACACGTGGTTTGACGCCGTTTGGAACCGGACTGTTTTAAGTGCTCTCTTAAATTGTTGTATTATGTACTAGTGCACGTAGCGCACGTACAATACAATACAGTTCCGTAGTCGCGGGTCCGTTCCGTACTCCACAATCGTTGTTACTACTACATAGTGTATGTAAGTGCTACGATGTGTTACGATGTGTTACGATGCGCACTGTATCAAGTACCTGAGATCGGCAATCATGACATTTATGTACGACCGACGCTATTCCCGGTCTTCGACCAGTCTCTCGGCTCGTTGATTTCCTAATGGGTACTTAATAACTAAGGGGGGGACTTTATTCTATTGATACGTGATACGTTCTATTGATACGATAATGGCCTACATATGGATACATGATGAGAATATAATATAATGGTCTTGGCAATCAGGTAGGTATTGGCTCCATTTCTTGGAGCTTGTGTAAATCAGATGGTTGAGTATCATAAATGAAAACCTCATTGTTGTTAAGCCGAGCATAGAATTCTTGTGAATGATACGATACTACTAAGGCATGGAAAAGAAGAGATGGCAAGGACGGCCTCGTCGCCGGGACCGGCATCATAACGAAGGGATAGCTTTTCTTGGCATCAAGAGCAACGTTATTTTGACTATTATTCTTACTGCTATTACTGCGTACTTTCTCTCAGCCCAGTGGCATGCCTATCGACATCCAGAGCATCCCAGCATCACGTATCAAATTAGCCCTGCAGACCTAAAATACGGCCTTTCACAATGCACTCTAAACAAGCAACGTCCCGTCGTAGACAGGAATCTAGCGTCTTCTCGTCTAGAAACTCAACCCGTGGGTACTCGTATTATTCTACATAACACAACACTTATCGATGGCGATGGCACTGTTACTCAAGACTGCATTATCGAAATGCAAGGTGGGATATTTACAAAGGTCTCAAAAGCTGAACTGGGTTTTCTGGAACCAGCTTCTCCCAACGATAGAGTTATTGACTTACACGGTCGAATTGTAACGCCAGGACTTATAGAGATGCACTCACATGCCGGCGTCCGGGAGACGCCCCAACTATGGGCCACCGAAGACGTTACTGAGACCTCATCTCCGGTAACACCTTGGGCCCGTGCAGTTGACGCCTTGAAGCCTCATGACCAGGCCATACCAGTTATTGCTAGTGGTGGTGTGACAACCTCTCTAGTACTAACGGGAGCGAAAAACTTGATCTCAGGGGAAGGCGTTCTCATCAAGATGAAGCGAGCGAACTCGGTTAGCGAACTTCTCATTAATACGACGGAAAGTGGCGGCAAGCCGCAGAGATATCTCAAGATGGCTATGGGCGAAAACCAAAAGAGGCAGTTTCAAAACGTGCCTGGAGGGCCGTCGACGAGGTTAGGAGAATCGTACTGGTTCCGGAAGGCCTATGATAACGCACGGCGGGTGAAGCAAGAACAAGATCGGTGGTGTGAGGCTGCCTCGACGGCGAAGGGGCTGGCATCGATAACGCATGAATACCCTCGCTCGCTTGAATGGCAGACACTAGTCGACGTCTTACGTGGGGATGTACGTGTAAACGTGCATGGCTACGAGACCGAAGACATGCTAGCTATGTTTGATCACGCCGATGAGTTCGGGTTCAACATTACGGCGTTGCACCACGCGCTCCATACAAATTTAATCATGGACCAACTTAAAGATAGGGGTATAGCTATTGCCGGCTTCTCGGATTCTTGGGGCGACAAAAAGGAGATCTATAATATTAGTTCTCGCTTCCCAGCAATGATAGCTGAACATGGCATCCCTCTTGCTCTCACTCGGGACCACCCGGCGGAACATGGCCAATGGCTACTGTATGAAGCCCAGATCGCGCATCACTTTGGCCTCAGTGCGGAGAGTGCTATTTCATCCGTCATCTCAGTGCCAGCTCGCCTTCTAGGTCTAGACAACAGGTAAGTACAAAAGCATATTTACGTACCTTAGGCATCATAACATTCCATGGCCCATCTAATCGAATGAATTGATATTAACAACCGTTATAGGCTCGGATTTGTCAGGCCCGGCTACGATGGCGATTTAGTAGTATGGAACCGCCATCCCTTACAGGTCGGTGCTACACCCCTCGAAGTGTACATCGGTGGGAATAGTGTAGTCCGGGCCTCAGACAGCTTGTGGAAAGCTTCGGAATCTAAACCAGATTTAAAAGAAGCTCCTATATCGCGACCCAGTGATACACCCGAGACCGCATGTATACCGGGCCAATCTGACATTATCATCCGCGGCTCAAGAACAAGCTTTATTAGTGACGATGGGTTGCGGAATGAGCGTCCCGAGACAGGGAATCTGACAATCGTTGTACGCGCCGGCCGCGTCGTTTGTGTAGGCGAAGGCAAATGCGATACCGCAGCAAGACAGGCGATGGAAGATCAAGTTCCCCTGGTAGATGTGCGGGATGGACACATACTTCCCGTAAGTCGAAATCATCTCCAAATTCCATTCCAAGAGTCTTACCGAAAGCTAGGGCCTTACGGTTGTCACGCGGCAGCACGGCCTAACTGAAATGCGTCAAGAACCATCTACATCAGACGGTTCTTCAACAGGCGAGGAATACGAAAGGCCTCTCTCAAGCCGGTTCGGTATCAAATTTGATGGCATACATCTTGAGAGATCTCACCGGAGCGGCGTAACTCGAATTGTAACGCCGCCATTGACGAATGGCTTCTTCCATGGGATTAGCACTTTATTCCGATCGGGGGCCAAAAGTGGTATGTATATCTGTTTCGTATTCTAACCATAGCTGTTGGACAACAAGGCAGTTGAAGACGACGTTATTAGGTTGCAAATCGCTGATTCCTCCTAGTCCTTGACGACGGCGCTATCGTCGAGCCCAACGCTGCTCTACATTTCACGATTGGACACGAGGCCAAATGTAAGTCTTTGCCGCTCCCTTCCCCTTGTCCGCTGCTCGTAGAAGCTAAGTTGACCACCTAAAATAGCATTTCGAACACCTTCTATAACTTCTCAAATAAGTAAGCTACGAGACCTCCTTACGGTGGACAAACATCTCCACCCTATTTACGATAGCGCGGCGAAAGGCAATATTGCCGTGGTTATCCACACGAATAACAAAGATGTCATTGCGCACATGGTAGCTCTGAAAAAGGAGACGGGTGCTCATATCGTCATAATGGGAGGATCGGAATCACATCTCCTAGCTGCCGAGCTTGCAGAAGCCGACGTGCCGGTTATTGTCGCGCCATTTTGGGGGTGTGAGCCTCTCTTCTGGGATGCTCGCAACTGCTTACCAGGCCCTCCCCTAACAGACCGCTTAGGACCGCAGGTATTAATAGATGCAGGCGTCAAGGTCGGTATCTCTAACTGGGACGACACGAATAATCATATTCGCAATAGCATCTGGGAAGCTAGTTGGGTTGCAGGCCCGGGAAATGGGAGTTTGGCGCTGGACCTTGTGTCTAAGAATATCGAGGATATTCTGAGGCTTCCGCGCAGTAGGGATTTTGTCGTATATGAAGGTGACCCGTTTGAGTTTGGGGCGCGTGTCGCCTTGATCTTTGAAGAGGGAAAAGTGCAGAGGTGTTATCCAGATGTCGACTAGGATTAATATTATTAGACGTATACCTACTACGCAGCTAATACTCGATACAAAATAAAATAAACTATAATACGCATACCTCATATTCTGTGGTTCTGTGGCCTTAAGTATTGGGATTCAACACTAGGTACGCATCGCTAGAGTTGACAGACCTAGATAGACTGTATGTCCAGGTTAAAGATACTGTACTCGGAGTTGAAGGAATTTCGTACCTATCGGCCCTTCCGAAGGTCGGCCGCTGGATTTTAAGCGATCGGGGAGTTGGTTTCCCGTTTCGGGTGCGCCGGCGGTACGAGCCGCACGAACCATGGATATCGATCGGATGGAGCACCGCTAATATGACGAAGTTCACACGTGTCGGACTAATAATGCATGGTTTTAAGGATTCTAGATGCTGATGTGTTTGACTATTAGCAAGGTCTGATTTCTATTCGGAAAGTTACTCGGGAATTGCTCTTGGTAATTGGTAATCATTTTGTCTCGTACTGCTAAACGAATCGCGTTGCTTGTTCTAAATACGTCGTAACACAATCCTATCGCGAATAATAACTTACGTTAAGACATTTTGAATTTACAGATAGTTAGATGGATATTGTATTTTTACGGAATCTCTAGCTCCTAACAAAACACCAAGGAATGATTTCCACTCTCCCTATTTTCTTACATACCTACTTGCGTTTCTAACCATACCTACCTAGGTATGCTTTATAGCTCTAGACAGTTAACGTACTTTATAATTATATAGGTTAACTAAGTCTAAAGCTCAAACGTAATAGGAAACCTAGGTACTTACCGCGTCCCGAACGAATCGAACACCGATAGCCTCAAAGTCAGAAATGCGTAGATTTAACCACCAAGCCTGTTTCCGTTCCTACTTTCGATAATTATTTAGGTATATCATCCCTAAGCAATCCGCGTAATATCAGCAAAACAGCCGAAACCTAGGTCTAGGTTTACAACCGAATATGAATATTGCTCTTGGCCTGTCCTTCGAGCGCCAGGGAGAACGCAAATAGAACCCCTCCTCCGGCCGCATCGTACTCCTCTACTACGTCGTGCCGTCAGAGGGCCGTTGAGTCAGTATACTATGTGGCAAGGCTCGAGACTTACAACGATATATCCTAGCCAACCGTAAACACCATTATTCGGTTTACCCTTCTTCGACCATCAATACAACTACATCACCTTTATCATACCTTACTATCCAGAGGCATTTCAACTCTCAAAAGAATACGGCGCGTTACTACGAAGAAGGTAATAGGTGGTTAGGTACCAATGCCAGGCAGTGGAAAGCATTCGTGGATTAAATCTACGGAGTTTCCTAACACTAGGTACCTAGGTAATCAAGGGGAGCTACCTACCAATATATGGCAGACTCCCCCTTCGTAGAATCAGCAAACGAATTGCACTTCGGGGCCATCGCGAATTTTCCTACATGTAGCAATTATTACAAAACAAATTACATTACATCCCCAACCGCAGACGACAACGCGTTCCAAATGCAAATATTGCAATTCCGACCCTCCAACCTTAACCAACCACTCCATTCTCATTGCCGTCGATGCAGTTTTCCACGCGTTCATTTCTCGGGCTGCGTGTCGAGATTCTCTTGGCCTCCGCTGAGGCGCGACGATCGTCGGGTAGGTATAGAGGTACGTCTCTGGGCGTTCTTTCGCGAAGGCGGAGTTTCGGTCTGGGGTCGAGCCTGGGGAGCGGCAAGCGAGGAGGTTCTATCAGCAACAGACAGGCTAGGGCCTGCAGTAGACTGTTCGTCGTGGGGTTTGTTTGAGGCGGCAACTTTCTGGTTTTTCTTGGAAGGGCGTCCTCGTGGTCGTCGTCCGGCTTGGGATTTAGCTGGGTACTGTATCTGAGCTTGAGCTTGAGCTGGAATTTGAGCCTGGGAATTTCCGGCTGACTTTCGTCGAGTATTGGTACTTGATCTTGGTGTTGTGCTAGACTGCTCCTTAGCGGCAGCGGGCGTGGCGGCCTTCTTGTTGGTCAAAACAATACGTATTGGGCGTTTCTTCTGAACTTCAGGTTGAGTCTGTTCTTCGTTATGAGGCTGCGTAAGCACCTCTTCTTGAGCTGTAGCATCTGGAGGAGGCACGGTGTTAGATTTCTGCAACGCTACGCTCCTCGCTAGACTCGCAGCGTTCTCTGCGGTAACCCCAGAGAATCTAGGTTGTTTCTTAGCCATCGGTTGGGCCTTCAATCGGGCCTTCAGCTGAGCCTTATTTTCATGCCTGAATTTAGGTTCAGGCAGGGGTTGAAGCTGAGGCTGGGCTTGACGCTGAGGCTCGATTAGGGGCTTAGATTCAACGATGTGCGAGTTTCTCTTTTCCTGAGTCTCTAGAACCTCTGACTGGGCTAGTGGATGAATTCCGAGTCCGGTATTCGGTACCTTCTGCGGTAACTCCTCGATCACGTCATGGGATGGCTTTCGCTTTCGATCCTGTACTACCCCTATTAGTTCTGGCATAGTGGTATTTGAAGGGCCATATGAATTATTCTCATCATTCTCCTCCTCGGCCTCTACATCATTCTGGGCAAGGTATTGAGTAGCATCATTGTAAGTATGAGGGTTCGCTGCGGCTTGATTCGATGCGGTCTCAACGGTGTGGATCGGGATGGATTTGGTTGTAAATAAGGGATGGGGATCGGGATTCCTCAGGGCCTTGGTTAGGTCATACTCTCCATCCTCGCAGGTTATCCTTAACCTGCCGTCCCGTATTGACAATCGATGGAGACCCGTTCCGACTATTCCGGGGAGCATTCTTCTATCGCGGAATACAACCACGGACTCTTTGAAATTAATCCAGGCTATCTCGTTTTTCGCTAGATTTACCCTTCTGTAGTTATCAGCATGGACAGCGTGTTCGGGTGGTACAAATATATACTCCCCACCAAGACCGGGAGAGATCTCTCCATTGCTCTCTCCTATGTGAGGTGTATCGAAGTTCATCTTGTCACCGCCTGGGGATATAACTAAGTAACCTGGTGGTAGATAGAAGTGTAGAAGTGCCCTATGTCCCTTCTGATACAATTCTCTTGCCTCCTCATCTCCAGTTCCAGGTAAAAGGCGTTCGGCATCCTTCCGAGGCTGTAGTAGTAGCTTAGGGCGTAAGGAAGTGGAACTGGTATTGTTTACTAGGGAGCCGCGCAGAATGAGATTGTCCTCTAGCGCTCTTTCTATTACCCGAGTACGGTGCGAGATCATATCATCGAAGAAGCTTGTCTTTGGGTGGGTGCATAGTCGAGAATCAGAACTAACCGTCGAGTAAGGCTTTGAAGGTTGGCGTACTCCCTCGTGGCTATGATGCGTTGGATTCTGGCTATTAGGGAAGTCAGCTGTCAAAGATGTTGGATACTTAGCAGCATTGTCGCATATGGTGAAGTGGTGTGACTCAGAGAATGCTGGAATAGGTGGGTTGAGTATAGTATACTTGCCGCCTTCGAGGAGTTTCTTTATGCCCTCGGGACTGACTACGACAACCCCAGCAGGCAATCGAAAGGATTTGACTGTTGAAAAGAACTTAGTACTAGAGAAGGCTGCTTTCATAATATTGACAGAAATAGCAATCGATTCCGTCGAGAGGGATAAGACGCGCTTGGCGGTTAGGTCCTGAAATTCTCTGGCTTGTAAATCCTGATCTTGATAAGGCAAGAACTCGACAATTCGTTCTTCGTATTCCAACGATTCCGGGAGAAGCTCGAGTTTCAGGTCACTAAAATCGATATCCAGCGGCCAGTTATTGATATGTCTTGCATATTCCTTAAGGGGTTCTGAATACTTCTCGAGCCCTCTGGAGCGGAGGTATTTGCATCCATAAGCAACCGATTCTTCATCCAGCGTACGAGATGCGGGCTCCAAGTTATTTCGTTTCCCGAGGAATTCTCTAACTTCATCGCTAAATAGTTCAAGCGTAAGGCAAGCCTCTTGGAATGATCCAAGGCTATCGGATAGCACTTTTAGAATAGCCTCCCTTACGGGGAACTCAATAAGTGACCAGTAGGGTGTAGAGGAGAGTGGGAAGAATTTAGTCTTCGTTGGTACCGGAGCCTCAAGCATAGATGGACTCACATGCGAAGGTTGGCTGGAGGGCCTTTCATCGAAATCCAGGTTGCTAAAGTTGTGTGGGTCAAGAATAGGGATGCTGGAAGTGTTTTCCTCTGGGAGGTAGGATTGAGAGACATCCTGCCATGTGTGTTCTTGTGCAGCCAAGCCAGCGCGGCCATCTGCTGTATGTATTATTTGCAAATCCATGAAGCTTCCTTTGAAAATGCTTCACCATTAAGGTAACACATTAAATGTAACTTGAAGCTATGTTGAGAGAGGAGTTATTTGGGTATGTTTTGTATCCTGTGTGAAATACCACAACAATAGGAAATAAGAAAAGAGGAAAGTAACGTGATGAATAATGGCATTAGAGATCGGGAAGGTGCAGGTTGGCTAAAGAAAAGCTGGAGCCTGTGTGTTTTGGGCGATACAATACAATGCCAACTGGTCGCCTAGGAGATTTTGGTATGATAAGGAAGAGTTTGCCAATATCTTGGAGTTGGCAATGACTAGGTACCTACCTAGATATCTCTTGCAACTGCTAATGAAAAGGCAGCCATCGGGAGGCCCATAAAACTCTGAGGGGTCCAGGTAAGCAGTAGCTTTGATTGTCTCGAGAAACTTCAGAAGCGGGAGTTGAACGAAGGGGTATCCTAGGCAACCTTAGTAACGATATGTGCATAAAAGGTGAAGTTGTAGAAAACGAGTGATTAACTTAGGTACATGATGTCTAACGAATTCATCTTAGAGGGCCCGTATTTATTCTCGAATGCTGTAGTCTTTATTCCTGATGATTGAACTGCAATATTACCCAAATCCCACTTAGGTAGTAGTTGCTTGGAATTTTCTAGACAAATATATAATCCAGAGAAGACATCCAAGGATATATGATACTGCTGAAGCTCTTGCGTCATGAATGTTTGATGTGATTATATTAACATTACGAGTAGGTTATGAATTTGGGGTGTTGTTCTCTTTGGGAGAGCCGTTTCCAGATCTCGATAAGGGGGGAGACTTCTGTTCTCAATATCATGACTGTCTACTTGTTATCCCACCGTGTACCTGAAACTCCCACTGCTTATCCATATTGTAATTGTAATAGAACGTTAACATAAAGCAATGTTATCATATCCATCTAAATATTGGGCACTGGGTAGGTTCTTCAGAGACACCCCAGAGCATCAATCGTCATTCAATGGAAAAAACTTCGTTGTTCCGCGAGGAACTCCGAACTAGGGACCTACCATGGAATGATATAGCATTAATACCGAAAGTATTCTTTGTTCTAGAAGGCTTATCTAGAATCCTGATAGCTTCAATACACTGCTGAATCGATGGCTCCACGATGATATCCATTATTCTACACTCTTATGGAGAGGTTGCTACAATACGTGCCAAAGATTATGCAGTATTATTGAGTAGTGTTCCCATGATATAGCACTGTGAGTGGTTAATAATGTGATGTCTTTATATTAGACATGAAATTATTCCTTTGACCTGGAGCTTGTACTCGCCTATTAAAGTGCGGGAGAAATGTGTGCACGATTCAGGAGTTAGTGAATAATACCTTGTAAGATCCAACGGAAAGCTATGATGTTTAGGTTTGGCGCCCGCACATTGCTATAATCATAGTCACATACAATAAGCCAAGCCGATTGTTGAGAAAAAGATTCGTAATAGTAATAGTGTCTTAGTGATTTTGTTATGGTTATAACACACTATTAGTAACTTTTGTACCATTGTCCCGCCTATGTGACTACCAACCGTCAAACCTCCAAAAAACAGTAGCATGGGTATATGCCATCCAGTACGCCGTTGCTAATCATTATAGCTTGATGAAGCCAACCATGCCGCCTGCCACCCTCAACCTGATGCTTGATGTATGCTCCTATAAAATCAATCAAGTAACTTGCGTGATGACTGGTCTAGGACCATACTAACTGGGTCCTTCTTCCATGTCATCATCCACCATGTCAACGAATGGAACAAATCTTTCGCGGTCTAAAAAGCGATCATTATCTAGTGCTTTGAGCTCACCAGGTTCCCCCATCTCCTCATTTTCGTCAAAAGTGGCTTCGATGCCTCTCTTCAGTTTGTGTACATTGCTTGAGGTACCGTTTGTTTGTGTTGAACCACTATCGAGCTCATGTCGGTGCACAGTACGTTGTGCGGAAAGTAGATCCTCATACGATTTGAGAACGAACCTAAGATCGTCGTTTAGGCAGACGCAGAAGCGCTTGAAGTGGACAAATTGGCAAGCTTCAATCATACTCATTCCGAAAACAGACATGAGGTAGGCCACAACAACGCCAGCAGAACGATCGTTTCCTGTTTCGCAGAAAACTAAAACTTTTCCTCTTTGGAACTTGTCGTGGGGAATTGCCATTTTCCCATCCTCAACCTGCATCTGCGTATTGCTAATACGTTGTCGACGGAAAACATTTAGCATGTGGTCATTGATGGTTCGAACAGCCGCGGGAAAGGCGCGAATGAGCTCATTATAACCAGAAACATCAACGTATTCGAGCTGGATGCCGAGTTCTTGCGCCACCTTACTGGGTGCCATTAGGTGCATGACAGCCATCTGGGAATCTCGTGCGGCCAGTAGCATTGTGATACCTGTCTTACTTAGCCACTTGCGATCTCGAGCGATGCTCGAGGGGCCGAGGTAGAGGAAGTCGAGGACAGGTTGTGCGACACGACGGTTCTCATATGCCCAATTAAGAGCCGAGTCCTGAGCTAGCTGCTCTTTATAGTTCTGGGTGATAATCTTAAGGTCATCGGCGCTGAGTGAAGCCGGGTCGACCTTTTCGTAAGTTGGCACGATCTTGATATGCTCATTTGCACAATGTAGAGTGGGGGTGGGAATCATGATAGAAGGAGGGCTAGGAGGACGCATAGAATAAGGCGCTGCTGGAATAGCACCATGCCGGGGAGAAGTTAGAGGATCCATGTAAGCTATCTTCAACTGGACATATTCTTGCTTTATGGGCTAAAAAAAAGATAAGAAAAAAGACTGGTCGAGCTACTCGAGATTCTCGAGCTTCGAATCTAATATGTGTCAGTTGCTGTATGTTGTATGTGCAGAATAATAGGTAAGTTTGATGTTCAGATAAACAATAATAAATGATCGTCGCGAAGAAAACTTATTTTAGCTGGAAGGTGAGTGGGAGTAGATTGCCACGAGAAGAAAATGTTAAGCGCGAAGGCACACGGCTGATTGACGAGATGAGAAAACTAAAAAGCAAGTACATTTCGGCCGATTGTGCATCTACAGCCGGCACCATCTGCATCTAGGCATCGACACTACATAAATTATATGTGATGAGGGGCAGTACCTGACTGGGTACCTCTTGTTTGTTTCCAATATGCACACCGTACCTTACGTGTAACTAGGTACATTCAATAGGTACCTTATGTCAGGTTGCACCCATCTTTAATCAATGAGGTAGGTACCATAACCTTGTGTACATCGTTATTATCATCATCATCTTCTTCATACTCATTGGAACCCACCTGTGTCTGAATTGTTCTAAATACCTTAGGTACCTAAGTCAAGTTAAACAACTAACAGAAGTGTAAAAGTGGATACCCTGGCTCTCATATATTCTCGTATATTATATCTTAAAGCACGTTAGACAGGCGGGATTCGTACAAATTAGAGCCATTAAAGCCACTGAACCACGACCCATGGGCGAGTAAACATAACTATTGGCCTTTCGATAATCGCTACGGAAGTTCGCTAGTACCAATACTACTCTCCCTAGCAAGTGGCGATGTGAATTCTGGTGTAACGGATCGCGACTCGACGCCTGGCCTCTTCGATCTGGAGTTGGTTGAAAGGTGCTTCTTTCGCCTCTTTTCAGAAGTAATCGAGTTCATGCTGCCTCTCCTACTACGGCTACCTTCCTCCGACTCCACTGGCGGTGTAGGACTTCGTGTTGATCCAGCCGAGTTACTAGCTCTCCGGAAACTACCACTCCTAGTACGCTTATTCTCCTTCGACAGACCGGAATGTCGATGATGTATGCTTTTCTCTGCATCGCCTACCCCAGAGCCATGTAAATGTGCCTTGTCCTCTACCTTCGAGGTTCCTAGTAGCCACCACAACCATCCGTTTTGTTCTTTTGCCAGCTGCCTTTCGCGGGCTTTTAGTTTAGTTCTCAATAACGCTCGGCGCTCGTTCTCCCTTTCCCAGTACTCGCTTCTGTAAAGCTCCCAATTTTCCCGGAAGTGAGGCGAAAAGGGTTTGGGCCATAGTAGAAGTTTGACGTAGTCTCCCCCGGGCGATAGGTCTTCCTCATGACCCCCCCTCTCCTCATCCGTACTGACGAAGGGGAGCGGAGGGTGATCGTGCCGGCCGAGATTTAGCTCTCGTTCGACTTCACGTAATATCGAAGGTTCCACGAAGTGATACTGGCCAGCCCTGCTAGAGAATGCGCCGTAGGTGAAGAAGAATCCTATGAGTGACACGAGCTCAACCCACCAAGACCTTTTGATTACAACCAATTTGCAGTTGAATCCACGCAAGCCTCTATTGCATATGCTAAACCAGCGCCGCGGCCACCTGATACCACGCTCCCATATACCAGTCGCCCAGACGAGTATACCTGTGACTATTCCGCTTATGAAGCACACTTTCTCTGTCATGTCCACGACCCAATATACCGAGCCGCCAACACCGCTACCGTCTTCTCGGGGTGCGAAGAATAGAGCATATCCAAATCCCGCTAACCACAGACACAGAAGGCTCAGGAAGAAGGTGTGCTTTCGCCGACGGGCGCGGAGTTCGAGGTACTGAGAGCGTAGCGAAGCCTCTAGTATTAGCATGTTGAGGTAGATCATGGAAGGCGAGCTTGGCGTGTGCTTTAAAGGATCGCCGGGCTTGTCTACACCGATAGGGCTCGTGCCCATTGGCGGGGATTTCATGCCCTGGCCGGGCTGAGGGGCTCCCTTAACGATAGAGTCGATAGTGTCGGACATGGTTTTCGTGTCGGTCGTGATCGTGACGGCTATGATACGAATCAAAAGAGGTAGCTCGGGACGTAAGTCCGCATCGACGTGATTAGAAGATTATAGGCGCATTTAGGAGTGCAAGTTTAAATTGTCGTAGTCTCGTAAATTAATAGGAAGAATTCAGATTCGTCAAGTTGTCGTAAGTTATCGTAATTACATAGGTATACTGTAGGATTTGTGATCTCTAGAGTGCCATCATCTTTTTTTTTTTTTTTTTTCTTGTTGACGTACAAAGTAGGTAGTTGTGGTTGTGGTTGTAGTTGTAGTTGTAGTACTAGTTCCTTCGGTTAGGTACCTAAAGTAGCGCTGTGATGAGTTAGTGTACATACCCCCACAAGGACAGCTGATAGTGATAGCAGCTGAAGCTTTAGGGTATGTGGTCATAGCTCTATCCCGAGGACCTAATCCTTGCCGTCCACCTGGTGCGGGGTGCTCGTGATGTTGCACCAAACCTAACCGTAGAAAATACCTATCTACCTGTCTACCTATGTAACCGAGATAGAAATCATAGATCTATTTATACCTACCATGTAACTTACGAGGTGTACATAAGGTAGGTATGTATGTATATTCATACTGAATAGAAGCTCAAAGAATGAGTAGCTCATTTATGAGAAAATATCTACGGATTAAAGTACAAAATAATTGTATCAAACTCGAGACTTTTGGTAGATCCATCTCCTAAACGTCTCTCCGAAGCATTAGGTTAGGTGCCTAACCAGCTAACCTAACACATGTTGCTCCGCAGTATCAGCCCACATGATTTCTGTAAACAAGAGCCTGACGCAGCACATGCAGGACCCTTAACTTATATCGAAATAGTCTCCGTCCTACATCCCGCGTAACTGGCGTACACATAGGTGCTGACGTATCCCGGTGACGATCTTGAGAAGAAAATGCCTAGTCTATACTGTTGTACTCCACGCTACAACAAGCATCGGTCGATAATCAGCTTTTCAGCTTTCTAGGGCTTCTTACGTTTTTTTTCTGCTCGTGGGGCACACAAGAATGAAGCATACTTAAACTTGGTCGACCCGCTGTTAGTTGGGATGGTTTTGTCTTTCAAATCCTAATATTTACCTAAGCATCTCGAAGATCGATCGATTAAGCCCGCTATACTTTTCTTCACAGTACCCATTCAGCCATTATGGATCCAGGCAAATCTTCTTCATATACCCACGCCTCAAACAATACAAGTTCCAAGGCTCCTAAAGGTCAAATACCTAGATCCGCTAAGCCGGCTTCTACCAAACTTGCTACAAGGCCGATCTGTGCCGACGTTAATTACCCGGATATCTTGCCCGGCGGATTTCAGCCAGGCAAGAAATGCATGCTCTTATAATGAGAGGCCATATGAAGGGTATCGGTATCGGATTCATTAGCAGGCCTAAGAGGTGTTCTCTAAGCCTTATTATACCCGAGACTCATAGTAGTTCTAATGAACTATTTTGATCAAAAGCCCAGAACGGTTGGCTGTGGCGGTGGTTATGGTTCTATGTGGGGTTCTAGCCGTCAAGAGTGCTTTTGTGGTCACTGGATCTGGCGTGAAGTTTTGTTGTACGAGACTTTGCAACACTCCCGATGATATGCGAAATAGCTCATTGCCTGGGGGGCTGGAGTCACACATATTCGCCTAACCTGGCCCCGACACGTCTAACATACGGTTAAATCCCCGGTATTGACGAAGCTATTAGCCATCGGATAACATGGCTGGAGCTCCGAAATCCTGCTCCTTACGACCCACAGGGCCGACCGAAAACAAAGACCGAAGATCATCAAATGACTGGTCTCACAACTATCGCAAGAAGAGATACATACCTACCTATCCATCGCAAAATATAAAGTGGTGAAAGGTTTCGAAGACGGGACAGGAAACGAGCCATCAGTTAGACTCAACGAAGCAGAGGTTATAACAAAATATCAAGACATACGAGCGATTTAAAGCTCATAACTGAGAGACCTGGAAAAGTGACTAATGAAGTAAATTTTCAAATTGCCTATAAATACTAGTCAGGCATATGTACGTTCCTGATTCATCTAGATTGGCACGGACTCTTAATAAGGGATAGATCTAGAATTCTAGATAACCTAATTATATCGCGGACTTAAGATCTTGGAGTTTCCCGAATGTCTAAATCCGCGTTACCACGCTAAAAGGAACCTTAACATGGATTGGCAGATACAGTTTGTATCAATGACTTGGCAAGATTCACTCTAGCGTGTTTTTGCAATAATTAAAAGGGATGATGAGGTAAATATAAAAGACTGATAAACTTTAAAATACAAGTCAATGTTTACTTGGAATGAATGGATATCTGTAGGATAGGACCGATAGGTGCTAGATATATGAATAAATTTGTGAGATGCAAAGCAAGGGTCGGCACGGGAGGATATAAAAGCCGAGCTGAAGATAAACTTCCCGTTTTTACTGTTCCGGCGTCCAATCTACCCACTAATTTATCTCATTCCCCTGACTATGTCTCGACCCGTTCAGCCAGCAGCCAATCCGAGCTGAGCAGCCCTGGGATCTCGTCTAATCCGGCTTACGCGACTAATCTTATTTAGAATCAAAAAGTTACCCGTTACCCGTTAGCTAACACCCGTGGATGGTCGGACTTTACTTTGCGCATTAGGTACTTCATACCAGCATACGTATGTACGTGGTCAATATAGTGGCTGTGCGTGTACCTACCTATGTAGGCTGCTAGGAGGTAGTCATCGCATTCCATGTCTCGGGTTTCGCCCCCCCGTAATTATATAAGAAAAGGCGTAGCCGGCTTTGCCACCCCTCCGGTATGCCCAAAGGTCCAACTTCAATCATCGTACAGTCGAGGAAGCTTGTGACCACTTTTGCGCGGACGCAGCACGCCGACAACACTATTTCTCCAGCGATAGTGAAGACCAATCTATCCCCTAAGGAGCCTATTCCAGTCCCATCCAGCATACCAATTGGACGACTACAGCGACCAATGTCAGCATCTCGGAGTGCCGGAGGGCAAACGTCAGAAGGAACAGAGATTCCCAAACCACCTTCTACGGGCATGTTTCCTTTAGGTTATAAAGAAGCTGCCTCTCAATGGGTACGTTTCATCATCTTATCTAGGACTTCATCGTATTATTGGATCTAGAACCTACCTATTCTGACCAAATTGTAGTGGAACAGTGTAACGCCTAAGATCGCTGAACGTAACGTGATATCATGCATACCATATCTTCGAGAAGCCATCGCGTCGGGTACGAGTTCTGCGACAGATGTCCCATCGGCGGAACATCCCGGGGAAGCTCAGACGTCGACGAAGATCGATCCCTACGGGCCAAGAATATGGAAGTCGACAATGGTAAAGTTGTCTGGTAAGAATAGGGGCTTAAATGAGTTCTCTGTAGAACGTGTCGGAGAACCCGTCGATGACACACTCGTTATGCTTCACGGATATGGAGCCGGGCTGGGCTTCTACTACAAAAACTTTGAGAATCTTAGTCGCGCCAAAGGCTGGAAGCTCTATGCGCTGGATTGGCTAGGGATGGGCAACTCCACAAGACCACCATTCAGGGTCTGCGCGAAGGATCCAGCGGCAAAGATTACGGAAGCGGAGAATTGGTTCATAGACGCGCTGGAAGAATGGAGGAAGATTCGAAAGATCGAGAAATTTACTCTTCTTGGTCATTCTTTAGGCGGCTACTTGAGTGTTTCCTATGCGCTCAAATATCCTGGCCACGTAAATAAGCTCATCCTCGCTTCTCCTGTCGGTATACCTGAAGATCCCTATGCTGTGAACGCCGACATGCCAGAACCAATGGAGTCGACATTCCAAGACGAGTTTGCCGTGGATCAGCAATTAACAACAGAAAGCCACAGTACTGACGGTCTTAACGGTAATAAGAAGATACAGCAGCAGGAAGCCAAAAAGCGACCGTATCCTTCATGGTTGGTTTGGTTATGGGACGCCAACGTGTCACCATTTAGTATTGTACGATTGGCGGGACCTCTAGGACCACGGCTTGCTTCAGGTTGGACCTCTCGCCGGTTTAACCATCTTACTCCGGAAGAGAAGCAGACACTCCACGACTATGCGTACTCGATTTTCAGGCAAAGGGGAAGCGGCGAATACGTCCTACCTTATCTCCTTGCCCCTGGCGCGCATGCGCGACGACCAGTCATCAATCGAATCCACCGTGTAGGTAGACAAGTCATCACCCCCGCAACTGAGACGGAACCGGCTGTAAAAGAAACCGGGTTTCCTATCGTTTTCATGTACGGGGAAAACGACTGGATGGATGTAGCAGGTGGTCTTGCTGCGGAGGAGAAGCTCAAGCAAGCTCAAGCTAAGATATTATTAAACGCCACCGAAGAAGAGAGGAGGAAAGAAAAAGGCGATGCAAAAGTTATCATCGTCAGCCGGGCTGGTCATCACCTCTACCTCGATAACCCAGACGAGTTCAACAAATACATCCGCGAGGAGCAAGAAGATACGAGACGACGGACGTTGCAAGAGAAGGCTCTGGCATAAGCTTTCATGTCTACCTATATATATAAGGGGGTGGTGGGTTTAAATGCATTGCCTGGCGTTTTGGTTGGATATTAGACTTGGGGCTTTTTTTGGTTGACGATAATACGATAATAATGACCAGAAGCTAACTACCCAGTACACTACCTATTCGCAAGTTACGGTACACCAACATTATATACATACTATATATTTAGATTTAGATTTATATTTATATTTATATTCAAGTATCACATTGTATCATGCTCATCTAGGCCAACAAGGGATCGTGTAACCCTCAAATGTCCCGAGATCAAGTGATTACATAAGGAAATGCTTAGATAGAGATACAAGATAGTAAGATTGATTAGATATTTGATTAGATATTTATAGTAGTACCTAATATTACTCAACCCATGCGCTCAACATTCAACGACCCACACCTCCGAATATACAATCTCCGAACATACATATCCCGGGTTGATTTCGCCGTCATTCTTGCTCCCATTGCGCTTCAACAACCTAGTGGCGTCCAAGTCAGTATCAGTACTTCCCAAAAAATATGTCAGAGGAGATAAGATTTTCGGCATTCCCAAAATTTAATGACTTACCTGTCGAATTGCGCCATAGCGTCTGGGAGCTAGCTCTCCCGGACGATACCCCGGAGATATGTATCCCGTGGCCGTTGGAGGAGGAGCCAGTACGCTGGCCACACGATCACGTCGGTCATGTTAGGTCGACAAACTATCTACAGCCCTTCCTTGTGGACACATGTTTCCCTACTATCATGCATGTGTGCCAGGAGTCACGTTACCTGGCGATATCCCGGTTGCGATTTCGATACTCACTCATAGCGGGCTGTCCCGTGCCATTCCGCGCATTCCGCCCCGACCTGGATATCGTCTACATAACCCTGTGCCGGCCTCCCACCGATATCAATGCAGTACCTAGGTGGGGCAGATATCCCCCTGGTACTCAGCATGTGGCATTAGACTTGCATACTATCAAGGATGGCAGCTTTCTCTGGATTCTGCTCAGCGACCCCTCCTTAGACCTGCGGACCATGTCTTGCGTACTTCCCGCGTCCGAAGCCATCCTAGACACAGCAGTACGGTTTCGGCCTCCCGTGCGACGGTGTCGGCTTCGCGATGTTGGGAGACCTTCGAATGGATCGGAGAATAATATCATCTGGGTGGACCGCGGTTACGATAGGCGCATGACCGGGATGGGCCGCTACCTGGAGGAGGTACGAGACACGGTGAGCACCGAGTTCGCCGAAGTTCTCGAAATTCAGGAGGTGCCAGAGCAGTACTTGCGCCGATGGAATGATGCGGAAGTCAGGTTCGATATCGAACTTATCGCGAGGACGTTCGAAGAGTATCGGGGTGGGCGCTGGGTACCTAGTTCAGAACATCCCGTCGGGTTCGACTGCCAATCCATCATATTCCCCGCCTCATGGCAGGCACTCGATAGTGCTAGAACCTACCAAGTCAGCGAGCTGGAAAGATGGACACCTTTGAGAAATCCCGAGACGTTTCGCGTCAACGATATCCAACAGAACGAGGTGCCCTTTGAATGATCTTGGGGAGAAGTTGTATAGAATTGCCATTTTGTTTATTGCCAGCGGGAAACCCCCCGAACACCGTTGCTAATGCCGCCGTTGTCGTCGCTTAGAAAGTATATAGAAACCGTACTAATAGACTACGTTACAAGGGTTAGGTAGATGTCCTATACGGAGTTTAGCCCCGGCCCCGAAGAGAGAAATGCCATCCTTCAAATGCCAAGAGGAAACTTGACTAGCATGAATTACTCTCAAGGCCGATAGCCCCAGTAAGTTCAGCTACAAAACTCCGCATAGCTACCTCCTCATTAAATGGCAAGCTACTACAAACCCCCTTCATAATAAGTTTGATTGGACAAGACATAAGGGGTATCCCATAAGGAGAGTATACTAGAACTTCTCATCAAACTTCGTTAGCTACTATTTTATGAACGCCCACATGGCAAACACTATTCCGAGACGTTGCATCCGGGAAGGCAAAGATTATCTTGAATCTAGCGAGATCTTGCCGTCGTGATTTTATCTACGACGCTACCGTAACGTCATTATTATTCCTTCGAGGTAAACTCGATATAAGATTAGTACAGTAGTAACAAGTTTACCGCATACTTAGAGCCTGTTAAGATGCACTATTCCCAGCCGTAATCTCGGGAAACTCACTTGACTAAGGGAGCACTATCCGGGATGTATTGCCATAAACTTTTTTCTGGTTGCATAAAATTTTTATCGTATCAACGGTAGTTATGTATCCCCGCTCTCATACACCATTACACTTCCGTGGTGGAGATCGGCTTTTGATGGAGGCCACCGGACGTCTTTAGTATAACTCATCCCGGGTGCGAAGATCGTCGCAGCGCAAGACGGGTTTCGTAAACACCGATTACCGTAGGAAGATTATTACGGCTTCGTTGTTGGTTACTGCGCCTCAAGAATATAACGTTAGGTACCTCTTTTAATGTAAAACAGACCACATCACGCCAACAGGAACATAATTCAAATATAACCAGTCAGATAAATTTTATCTCTTAAATATAAAAGGGGAACGCCGTAAATCAGATTGGAATGGGTCATATTTATGCAAATAGTCTCGGAGGGTGCGAGATGAGAGGGTCTATTTTGTTCTTCAAGCTGAATGCCGCTTAGTGCCATCCAAACCCACCAATGAATCGCGACGCTAGAGAGCTGAATCGTAGTTCTATCTTTGCAAGTTCGAGACTCGGCCCGGAATCCACATCAGGCAAATCCCATGTGGGGTATGTATAAAATTATGCCATTCTAGCTCCGGGACGAAGCCGTATCCGAACGGACCATCCTATCTCTGTATGCTCGGGACTCTTCATATTTCCCGACCATGCTATATAAACAATGGAGGCGACGCTTTTTTTCCAGGATCTTGCTACCCCTGTGTATGTACAGGTCACCATCGTTTCTATAAAAGATTAGACTTCCTTGAGCCGCAAGGTCCCTTTATAACAACAGTTGTGAGGGAGTCGTATCATCGATACATAATAATTAATATAGAAAGATTTACCCGCGATGAGTACCGACATGACGGAAAAGGGCTCTGTCAACACCACAATCCCTGACAGGGACTCGACAGTTGGGGCAGATTCGGAGCAAGACGTCGAGGCGGGTGTTGATAACTGCGAAATCACAGCCGATGAGAAGGATCCCGACGTCGTAGACTGGGACGGACCAGACGACCCAGAAAACCCGGCAAACTGGTCTGATAAGAAGAAATGGCTGAATATTGCTATCCTCTCTATAATGACCTTAGTAACGTAAGTGACCATCGATGTTACCAATATCCTTTCGATTACTAGCTATCATACTAACTCACCGCAGTCCGCTGGGCTCTTCGATGTTTGCCCCTGGTATCCCCGGCATCATGGTAGAATTCCACGAGACCTCTTCAACCATAGCTACGTTCCTCGTCTCGGTGTATATCCTAGGATTTGCCTTCGGCCCGCTCGTCATAGCGCCGCTGAGCGAGATCTTCGGCCGTCGGCCCCTGTACATCTACGGCAACATCCTTTTCGTCGTCTTCTCCGTCGGCGCTGCCCTCAGCACCGGCACCGGAATGTTGATGGCTTTCCGATTGCTGATGGGTCTTGCCGGATCGGTGCCGATAACCATTGGGAGCGGTAGCATTGCGGATGTAATGCCTGTCGAGAAGCGTGGAAGAGCTATGTCTGCTTGGGCTTTGGGTCCCCTTCTCGGACCCTGCGTTGGTCCTATTGCTGGCGGTTATCTGATCGAGGCTGCTGGCTGGAGATGGGTGTATTGGCTAATCGTCATTCTGGTAAGTTGACTTATGTACACCACGTATCACTGATTCTGTGGAATAGGGGCTAACATGAGCACAGGGCGGCATCTTTATTCCTCTCTCCTTTTTCTTCCTCCGGGAGACGTTTGGTCCAGTATTAATCGCGAAGAAAACTCGAAGGCTCCGAAAAGAGACAGGAAACCAAAACCTCCGCAGCAAATTCGCAGGACGGCTAAGCCCCAAGGAACAGTTCAAGCTTGCCATTGTTCGGCCAATGAAACTCCTCTTACTGACACCCATTGTCACTCTCATGTCGCTATACGTCGCCATCACCTACGGCATCCTATACCTCCTCATCACGACGTTTTCCTTCGTCTACACCGAGAAGTACGGCTTCAGCGAGGGTGACAGCGGCCTGACGTTCCTTCCTGCCGGAATTGGCATGATGATTGGTGTTGTGGGTTTTGGACAACTCACCGACTTGATGGTCCAGAGGAACAATAAGAAGGGGCTCACCCATAGGCCTGAAGTCCGTATCGCGCCGGTGCTAACTATCCCTTGCGGAATCGCGCTCCCTATTGGCCTGTTCATCTACGGATGGACTGCCAACTTTGGCGTGCACTGGATCGTTCCTATGATCGGTGTCCTCATCTTCGCCGCGGGACTTATGGGTGTTATGGTAAGTTTCCGTCCTCGGATTGCCCTAATTATAATAAGATGCTAACATTCCAATCAGTTCTGCGTCCAAAATTACCTTCTCGATACATACCCCCGGTACGCAGCATCCGTCACGGCTGCGATGACGGTCCTTCGATCACTCCTCGGCGCCCTTCTTCCTCTTGGAGGGCTCGAAATGTACAACGCATTAGGCCTGGGGTGGGGCAACAGCCTTCTCGGGTTCATCGCGCTCGCGCTGATTCCGATACCCGTCGTATTTTTTATATTCGGCGAGCGTATCCGCGGGAGATTTAACCCCAGCTTATAAGGATGTTTATATATCCCTTGCATAACCTGTATATAGAAATGATTGATTATAGGATACCTAAGTAATGATTATGTCTAATAGAGCTTTTGAATAGCATGGATATGTTGAGTTTCGTCTCATTCGGTCTGCGTGAGTTTTATTTACAGCGTGATTGTGGGATTTTGTGACCTTGATAGCAACACGGACTACTAAGCAATCTCAAAACATCAGATATTTAACGTGGATTAATACGAGTATAATAACTCACCGAGCCTTCGTGTCTGTAATACTTTCTAAATACCATTAATTACCCTAAACGTAAAGTACTATACTTTCGGGGATTCCCGGAGACTCGGATGCGGGCTTGGCCGGAGCGGGGCCGGAAGGCGAATGACCTAGGGCTTCCTCAGGTGTTGTTTCCAGTCGGATGATCTGTCAAGCAACTCTCGTGAAGCAGCGCCGTGATTAAACGTATGTAATTTCCAATTGCTTTTGCCAGTTTGATATACTATGTATTATAGGTAAGGGCGCTCGCTCAACTGCCCTTGAAAGTTGGTTAAGACCTTTCGCTCAAGCATCGAAAGCTCTTGGAGAACTACTAGTTACGTCATTAAACCCAAGACCCTTAACTCAACTATGTATTTAACTACCCCAGCTATGATGTAAAGTATTTACTAGTTCTCCAAGTGACGCCATCGACTATTTTCAATTTGTATAATATTGGTCTTTATATAGGTATACATATATATTTTTTACTGGGAAGTTTTTGGAAGTCAGTAATGCCGATTACCGACGACGATGATGAGCCCAAACGCTCGCGTAAAGGGCCTCCTTCGAGGGTACCTATGCCGGATGCCGATTCGCCAGCGACCGAACCCGGCTCAGATTCGTCTTGCGAATGTCCTCTGAGCGAAAAGAACCACGACGGCCACCGACCGTGTACTCTCGACACACGCCCGTCTCAGATACGCGCAAGTGGCCGGGATGGCTCGAACGGGCTTTCGGGACAACTCTCGCGGACAGTATCGCGTAGGGATACCGTGCTATCCCGAATACGGTCCCGTCCGGAGGTACCGCCGTTTAGTCACCCGCTCGCGAAAGTGAGGACTGGACGGGAATCGCTCGTCGACTTTGACGGGCCGGATGACCCCTATCGTCCCATGAACTGGCCGCAGCGCAAGAAGATAGCTACAACTCTGCTCTATGGTCTAGTTACCATGACTGCAACTTGGTCATCCTCGTCCTATTCTGCCGGGACCCTGCAGATCGCGGAGCAATTCGGTGTTGGGACGCAAACGGCAACGCTAGGAACCACTCTCTTCCTCCTCGGATTTGGAATAGGGCCTCTGCTCTGGGCGCCGCTTTCTGAGGTCTACGGTCGGCGCGTGGCGGTGTTGACGCCTATGTTCGTCTCTATATGCTTCTCGTTCGGTTCGGCCACCGCCAAGGACTTCCAGACTCTCATGCTAACGCGGTTTTGGGGAGCCATATTCGCCTCTGCTCCGGTGACGAATACCGGCGGTGTTCTAGGCGACTTATTCACGCCGGCCCACCGCGGTATTGCTATGGCGGGTTATGCGATGGCAGTCGTAGGTGGCCCGACGGTTGGTCCCATCGTGTCAGCCGCCGTCGTAGCGCAGCCGAGCCTCGGCTGGCGATGGACAGAATACACGACGGGGATGTTGCAATCCGTCGTCTTACTATTTGCTATAATCTTTATCGACGAGACATACCCACCGAGGCTTCTTGTTACCAAAGCAAGACGGCTGCGGCTCGAGACGGGTAACTGGGCGCTCCACGCTAAGTTCGAAGAATGGGATGTGAGCGTTGTCGAGCTGGCGCGGAAGTTTCTTATTCGCCCGATACAGCTTCTTTTCACGCCGATTTGCTTCCTCGTTGCCCTGTATGCGAGCTTCTGCTACGGAATTCTATACATGCAGCTCGGCGCGGTGCCTATTATATTCGGTGAGATCAGAGGATGGTCGCTACTGTCGAGTGAACTACCGTTTTTAGCCATCCTTCTTGGTTCGTTAACCGGTGCAGTTATCAACATGTCCAACCAGCTATACTATAATAAGACTTATCATGCTTCAGGCGACAGAGCGGTCCCCGAGAAGAGGCTACCTCCGATGATGCTAGGCTCCGTACTTTTTGCGGCAGGCCAATTCATCACCGGATGGACTGCAGACCCAGCTACTTCCCCCTGGATCGTCCCCGTCATCGGGCTTTACCTCGCCGGATGCGGTTTTAACACAATCTTCCAGGCCGCGCTCAACTATCTCGTCGATACTTTCCAGATGTATGCGGCAAGTGCCGTAGCCGCCAATACGTTCTTACGGAGCTGCTTCGCTGCCGCGTTTCCACTAGTTGTGACGCCGTTATATCACAACATCGGGGTCGGCCCCGGGTCGAGCATCTTTGCTGGGTGTGCGTGCTTGCTGATACCTGTACCGTTTGTCTTTTACTTTTTCGGGAGGCGGATTAGGGCTGGTAATAAATGGAGCAAGCATAGCGTGTTTTAGACATTCTAAGAATTTGCATGGCATTGGCGTTGGGGATGGCCTGAGCATTGGGGAAAGGGGCATGATTCATCGTTTTTAGAGCATTTCCAGCGAGCAGTTGGCATCGGAATAGCATTCTACGCTATAGGTTTACGTTACTTATACAGACTAGAGTTTCCAGCTATTCTAAGGCTAACAGTACCTTATTTGAAATTCTCTCCAAGAGGTTCAAAGATGCCTTCACGGAAGAAGCTTTATTCTCTCGGTGGTAAAGCCGCTCTATCGAAATAGATCACTAGCTGGGACAAGCGCTAAAAAGTTGTCCGACAAACTTTCAGTAAGACTATGCGTCGATATCCAGACAAATCCTGATTCTTCGACAAGTACGCGTTGCGTTAGGTATCGTCGATTTCATGAACGCTGTCTGCCATTAGCTGATGCTCGCACCCCACGAGCACCGAAACCGTGTCGGATCATGGACTTGAAACAGCAAACCCGGTGGGGGATCTTATGGAGACACAACATTGATATCGTTCCACTACGAAGAAACTCCGGCGTGTCGCTGGTGTAACAAGTGGGCTGACATCCATCTAATTTTGTTTACTGTGTATACCGAGTAATCTATAATGGGATGGCTTCGGAGCTATAGCCGCTTGTCTCTCCTAACCGATATTACACAAAGTAGGCGCGCAGAATGCACGTATATAAGGTAGGTATCTTCGGCGAAGAAAGTAAGACATGCATACGAAAAAGAAGGAAGCTACAAAAAAAAACAGCAATTACTCACGATGCGGGGCCGAAAAAGAATATGTACAAAGCACCCGGTACCTAGGCGCGGGGAATATCAAGGTACATTATTTCGCCAGGGCAGCTGCAACAGAAAACGATATGACAAAAGAAAAAAAGAAACATGTTATATCAAAAAAGAGAAAAAAAAAGATCAAAAAATTAGGGTTACTAATCCCAGTGTACTGGGAAGCATCAGGAATTGAGCCCGATGCGGGGGTCGAACCTTCAGGTTGATGTTAGTACATAATTGCGTGAATAATCTCAGATTAGAGAGTAACTTACCCGCAACCTTGAGATTAAGAGTCTCACGCTCTACCGATTGAGCTAACCGGGCGGTGACAGATGGTTCGAATTTGAGGTATATATTCCGTAGCATGTTTGTGTGTTTGTTAGCCGATACTGCACATGTGTGTTAGACCCTTGCCCTAGGTACCCATACTATGTACCTAAGTCTCGTGAAGGTCCAATCATTCTCACCTCACACTACTCTCACAAGCCAAGGTTGTCAAAACTTTATACTTCAAGATTGCGTCCTTTCATTGATGGATTATCCTTAGGTTATTATTTATATTTATGTGAATAATTTTATCTCGATATGTCTTGAGACTTATATCAATATTTTGGTATTCTTCTTTTTTTTCGTGCAGGTTGTACTCTACTTTTTCAACCACCTTCAACTAGGTGCATACGTCTTGGAGTCAGTATGACAATTCAACATTTCAAAGTTACATATTACTACCGTCATATAGCAGATCGAACCCAATCGTATATTATTGTAAATACCCACTGGGAGGAGAATGTTACATCAGCTATGTTCGGAACATATACCTAACCTAGATGGGTGAGTACTGTATAAGCGACCTCCGCGAGACGTGATGCCTTAAGCTTTTGATATATACCCTTCCATACCCTAGGCATTTTATGTGATCTCGGAAAGGTAGCTCTGTCCTCATATTTATGCATCCATCATGCCACTCTACTGGGCTTGTGTGCTAAGGCAATTTAACTATTAATTTACCGCCCTAATTGAAATAACCTGAATTATATAAAATCAGACCGACAATTTGATTGTGTAATCATGTTTCCTTTTCATTAGGATGTCTTGGGAGGGAGTTACCGTATGGGGAACTATTTCAAGAACTCTCTATAGTGCATTGACAGAGCAGTGTCTCAGGCAAGCCACTCTTGGGCCGCGTGGTGAACTGACATCAGCATACTCTGACGGCAAGTCCCGAATAGGATAACTAACATAAGCACCAAGTTCTAAGTATAGAAGATTACCAAGGCCCTTGGGGCTTCATATTCCTTCATTCGCTCGAGAACTCCATATAATGATAGATGAAACTGGTCCATGGCTGCAGTATCTCTTCGTCCGAGTATTCGGATATCTAGGCTCGTCTTCCTACCGCCTCTAATAAATGTATGCTGATTCTGGTAGGTACAGGATTTAATTGCCATACACGAGAAACAATGGTTCTAGAAACTCTTGCAAGTAGGAATATTTTATATTGACCAAGCCTGAGCAGCTTCCGAAGTTGACTTATCAGGATTAAATCTGTAACTCGACCCTCTGTACGTACCCGCATTGAATATCCAATTGGAATTGCTGATGGGGTTTTAAACTTTCGGTACCTATTACGCCGTGTCTTTCACTGACGTACCCAGGTAGGCTATTTTTATCCAGTCGTACCTGTTTACCATGTGATCTGGCTATGCCATTTAACCATTACGCCCAGTTGTTTCATTCGTCATCCTTTTTTACTATCGCATGCATATTCTATGCAGTTTTACGTGGAATTTCCATTTGTCGTGGCAATATCGCGTGGTCGCTTTCTAAGCCTATCAATTGATCAGTCAGAACAGCGTCAAAAAACATGCCCACTTTAATCTCTCAACTTTTAATACTTGTTTTAACTTAAATAACTTTATCAACTCTTATGATAACTGAATGAAACTTATATGAAATAATATTTAATCAATTCGGTTTAATATAAGAATTTTTAAGAATTCTTTTCTTTTGATTTGGTTGAAGAATTGGATTGTCAAACGTGTGTGTATATTATTTTGCTTGGGTGGGGATGGGTCATCTATTTTGACGCTGTTCTGTCAGTTACATAGCTTCTAAGAGTTGGCTTCCTTGGTCACTTCTCTTACTAGGAAGACCGTCCCACTGATGCGCACCAGGATTGAAAGTGCTGACAGTTGAATCGACTGCTCATGATCCAACCCATTTATCAGTCTATTTCTTACGAGTTAAAGCATCGATAGATATTTCACAAAATGCGATAGTGCATAGCACTTGTATTAACGCATATATCACTCGTCTAATGTAATACAGCGTACGGTTGACTATTGAGGCTGAAGCTAATCAAAGATTCCAAACTAATTACTAATTAGGGGTCAGGGTCAAGCTTGGTGTACACAGACTCGCTAAGTCTGGGGTTCCCTGCCTTATACTACACGAAGTCTTTTTATGAACTCCTGACTTGAAGCGGCTTCTTTAGCTTCCATTGTATCTGGATGCTGTTGACGCCACACCTTACCGCGCGCTATGCCGATTTTTCGTAGCACAACTGCAGAATCAAAACCCGATCAAAGGTAGCCATTAGGCTTCGATTATGAAATTTCCGTTAGCCGCGCTACGAATTAATCAATCAGATGGTCAAGATCGATCTTTTCTTTATCTGTCAATCTTAATAGGGGATAGTAGAATTAAGATTACCTGCCACACACGTACCTCTAAGCGAACCGATATCCCCCATCTCCCCACAGGTCCACAGGTATTCCGTAAAGATTCGATGATCATTTACCAATTATGTAGGCCTGTAAGTGCCGTCGTATGCAGGTTGCAGGTTGGTACCTGCAGTATGCAGGAGAATGCACAACAGGATCTGAGTACTACATTGGTAGCGGTACAACACAAAGAATTTATCCTCTTCGTCGACCAAAAACCTGCAAAATCGGTTACAAACAAGATCTTGTCCCTCATCCCCCGACTTACGCCAGCCTTGCCCCGAGGGATAGGTACTGTGTATTATTCGGTTACAAGGAATTAAAATTACAAATAGACAAAAACGGACGCGACAAGGGTCTGCAGCTCGGAATGCTAATGAGCAATTGGTAAGAAGACAGGGTTTGTTTATAATAATTAGCCACTAAAATCGACTTTCGAAAGCCACACGAACCACACGAACCAAAAGAGGACCGTCAGGGGTACAAACTGGGGAAATGCTACGCGCTAAAAAGACGTCCATCATCTTTCAAGCGCCTGCCTCATTCTGCAAGAGCCACATAGATGCTCCTGCTTTGCATGTCCTTAATAACCCCTGAACATTTTACTGGTCTAATAATGGATAAACGACCGATTACAACGCTACCCGGCCTGTAGTCTATGCCACCATGCCCCTTTCGAACATTTCCACCCCCATTTCCACCCCCCCCATGCTTGACGAGCTCTGTTCCTTTTTCGTTCTTTCTCTGTTGTGCGCCCTCACTCTTTCTGGCCTGTCGACTATTTGCTGGGCTTCTTCATGTTGCCCACGTTGCCCACGTTGCCTTCCTCTTATTGTATCAGTGAAACATTACCAAGTTCCTCTGGCAGGCCGATTCGATAATTTCTTAGCCCAGCCCAGCCCAGCCTGTAACTCTCCACTCATTCCTCCTAGGCTCTAGCCATGAATGCCAGGACAAGGGAGTAAGATACTAGACAGTACACTATATCGACCACCATGTCTGTCCCTCAGCCTCTGCCGAACCAGATCCTGCAAAACCACCCGCATCGGCCTTCCCTAACGGCTTACTCTGAGACTTCTCGTGCCTCATCTGATCTTTCTTTACTTCAACAGCCCTTTCCCTCCCTCCCAGACCAATCCCAATCCCTTGATCTTGACTTAGCTCAAGCCCTACCGGGTTCGAGAAACACGAAGAAGCTTGTCATCGACAGCTCTGCCGTTATATCGCCCGTCCGGTCCATTCGACGTAAGCCGCTGTCGTCGACCGCGTCATCAATCGCTACTAGGTATTCTTCTGGGGAGTACCTTGCGATTGTGAAGGGGCAGCCTGGGCCAGACCAACGGTTCTCTCGCTCTTGTTCAGTTGACAGCCCTACCGTTTACGAGTTTCCTCGCCCTCCGGTTGGTCCACTAGCTAAGCCTGGATTGGAATCTCCCTACGATTTTATATTGATCCAGAGTAACAGAGAGTAAGTCAAGGTTTCATTAATCTACAATCCAATGCCAGTCATCTAAGCAGGATGTTGTTAATTAATACTCGAATTTATCCAGGAAACCTCCCGAGGCTCGCCATCCTTTAGCTTCTGTTGACTCTAGCCCGGCTGTCACAGCGGGTGAAGTCGAACGCCCAAGTTCTCAGGGTAGTAACCCTGCCTTTTCTCAAACACACCACACCACCGACCTGTCGCAACACTACGAACGGACCGCCTATGACGATTTCTTTAGTGACCAAGACGAAGAAGAGGATCGGCTAAGTGACAATATTCTCGACGGATACAACTCGGATTCGTCGGATAATAATAATTCTAATTCTAATTATTCTAATACTATGTCGTTGCATATCACCCGGAAAACCACACCTCCACAGTTGACTCTCAAGTCGGACGATACCTCGTTGACTCCAAAAGCTGATAGAAACGACATCAAGTCACCCAATACCGATAAACCCCTACCGAAATCACCCGGCTCGTCAAAGCTAGGAACCTTCTTTGGCTGGACTTCGCCTTCGAATACAGAGGCGTCAGACAAAGGATATTCACCTCTTCCATCACCTTTCAACTTCTCAAAGGCGACTAGTGTTACAGATGCATCCCCAGTCACAACGATCGGACCACAATCACTACTGGACGCCCCCAAGGCATTGTTCGGATCTCCGAATTCAAGGGACTACTGCGAATCTTACCTGGCAACACCACCAACCGCTACGATACCACCACAATATCAAATCGAAGACATGGAAGACGAACTAAAGGCCATCTCGGCCGAATTGGCAGCTTCAATTCGGCGCGAGATAGACCTAGAAGACTTGGTAGACAGATTACAAGCAGAGAGGGATAACCCTACGACGGCTGGAAACAAGAGAACCAGCGATTACTTTTCTGATTCGGGATACAGCTCCGCTAAGCTAAGCGAGTATGACCAATCGAGGGAAGAGATAGAGAAGATTCAGAGGAGATCAGAGCAGGAGAAAGCCCAGATTAGGCTCGAGTTGACTAACAAACTCCAGGATGAGAGGTCCAGGAGACAACAGCTCGACGTACAGATCAAAGAGCTTTCGGAGAGGGCATCCCAAATTGATCTTGCAAAAGTCAACAATGTTGATACAACTGGACGTGTTAAGGAATTAGAAAGCACCTGTGAAACTTTGCGGCGCAAGCTTAACGAAGAGCGCCAAGTCAAAGATAACTTTGAAGACTTACTTGCAGCGCTCAAGGGCGAGCTCGAAAATGCCTCCAACCAACGCGACAACCTTCGTGACGAGGTCGTCCCCCAACTTCGAGCACGTGTGGAAGGCCTCGAGGCACAGGCGTCGGAGCTAGAGAAGATGACGTATGAAGCGACAAAGATGCAGCAAGAACTTCAGGCTCTGAAGAGCGAGAACTCGTCATTGAAACAGGCACAGCCTAACCCGATGGACACTATCTCTGAAGATACGATATCCGCTGGGTCCCGATTGTCCCGATCCAACTCCCTAACCGGACCTCCACCGTCTTTTAGGCTTCAAAGAGCGCCCTCGGGTCTGACAAGATCCAAGTCAGTTAAGACAGCTGAATCTCGGGACCAGCTATCAGAGCGGCTTAAGGATGTCGAAGAGCAACGAGATGCTTTACACAGAGCTCTAAGGAATCTGTTAGACAGGCAAGAATATCAGAATAAGGAGAACCAAAAGAAGATACAAGCCCTTGAGATGGAGCGCGATCGTCTTCTGACCCAGTCACCACAGAAAGCCGGCTTCCAGAAAGAAATATCTAACCTTAGAGCTGAGATTACGGTCTTGCGCCGGCGAGCTGACGAGGCGCTCGAACAAAAGTGGCAAGTAGAGAAAGGACTCGCAGGTCTTAAGATGGATCTTGATCGAGCCGAGCAAGAGATAGCATCTCTCAGGAGCTTGCTCGACGAGAAAGATATTTTAATCCCGCCGTCTATCTCACGCCTGAGCACCGGAAGCGATAAATTTGCACCGCCAGTAACATCAGATTCTCTAGCATTAGCCTATGAAGATCTCCAGAAGGCATATGCCGACTCTCTTGAGCGTATTAAGAAGCTCGAGGCTAGTAGTTCACCAGACGAATTTACAAAGCTCGCGATGGAGAAGCTTGAGCGGGCACTGTCTTCTACGATCTCAGAGCGCGATATTGCACGCGAAGAAGCGACATCATATCAGGAGCAGCTCGAAGCCCTTAAGGCGGGCGAACGGGCTTATCTCGAATCCGAAAAAGCACTTGCCGACGAGCTGAGCGAATCGGCTCGTCGCGTCGAAGAGCTAGCTATACAAGTCCGTCAGCAGCTAGCTACTAATCAGACTCTACGTCAAAGGATCTCGGATACGGTGGCTCGCGGTGAAGCTGAGCAGAAGGCCAACAAGGACCGTATTACCGCAATGCAAGTACACCTCCGGAATCTTGAGGAGAAATTAGAGGCCGCGCAAAATGCCTCTGAGGACCGGATCGCACGATATGAGGAAGATATATCGAACCTCAGAGCCAGCCACAACGAGCAACTAAAACGGATGCGGGATGGCTTACGTTCTCCCCGTACATTCCCGCCGAAGTCACCTTTATCCCCCTTTTTCTCAGGCCCAAATGCTCGGTCTCCTCGTCTCAGCACTACGCGCTCCGGCTCAGTTATCAAGGTATCCGATGATGTCCAAATTGACCACCTTCGCGCACGTATCGCCGAGCTCGAAAATGCCCTAACCGATGCGGACGCCGAAATGCAGCAGGTTGTCGGCCGCATGAATACTGCTCAGATCCAAGTCATGGAACTACAGGAAGAGCGCGAGGCAGCCGTTAGTCAAACGCGAAAGCTGGAGAGGGAGCTCCAGGCCGAAAAGGTGAAAGCCTTCGAGGGGCGATTTAAGAGCCTGCAGGCATAGACTATTGGTTCATTGACCAAGCTTGAAAGATGCACATCTTTACACATTACGATTCTATGAAAGTCAACATGGGCACACAGCCCTGTATACTACTTTTCCTTCCTTGGCATTTACAGGACCAGGCATCCTACACATTGGGTATGGCAGCGCGCTCACCTGGATTCAGCATCGGGCGTTTGTATTAAGCATCACCTTGGTTTACTGTTTATAGCTACTGTATTTTTGAGTGGTCGAACCCGGCCGACCACCTATTGTATAATGTTCGAACCCTAGCACTACTAGAGGATTCGAGGAATTGTATACGTACCTAATGTTTTAACCTAGTACTCTTCTACCTGTATTTATACGCGGTCGCATACAGAGTCGAGCAGAAACACTTGTATCCCAAAAGGGTGCACATAGCTAGTATTGTACTATCGGGAAGAATACCCAGAGTTAATTGATAGTTTAAAATAACGACTATAACTATCTTTATTTAGTATCGTTATATTCTCTTGTCCTTGGTGAAATTGTATTCCCGCTCGTGACTAAACTTGAAGTTGATTTACGGTATTCTCAGTAAGTCATCATTTAAGTACATCAGGTTAAGGGCTTGTGAAGTTGAAGCTATCCGGTGCAGTGCTCTTGTCCAGGGCGACATTATTATAGTATGATAGAACATCGGGATGTGGAATTAGAGACGTGACATATTTAATCGAGCTGTTTCTTGCTCCGACTCTGGCTTTTTCGCATCAGCCTTAGAAACGACAACTGCCTTTTGTTGCTTGTCGACGCCTAGCCAGAGGAGGTCGGGCCTACTATAGTGGCCGACGATATCTAGGAAGCCCCTATTTGCTACGACCTTCGTGAGATCCAGATCTCCATATAAGATTCCCTCCGTTTCAGGTTTACCATCACCAAGCGGTGATGTCAATCGTCTCCCATCGGGGCCAATGATACAGCTGTGACCCCCTCCAGGCTGCGCACAGACAAGCCCATTTTGAGTCTTGAAGACGTCAATGCCGGCTTGACTGCACACAGATGTAGCGTGCAAAACGTACGCGCCGCTTTCGATCGCATACGTCTGCGATAGGTTCTGGCATCCGTCGGCTGTCATACTCCATAGGCCCGGATGATCTACGCCAGTAGCGGGATCTATCGGCGGCCACATAGATATGTGAATGACTCCGCCTTGCGTGATGCTGTGGTACTTGAGAAGCGGCTGGGTATGTTCCCAGCAGGCTAGGGCTCCTACCTTGATTTTGCCCAGCGGAGCGCCGAAGTCAAGTTCTGCAACGTTGGTCAAATCGTTGCCGGAGCCATCCCCAAAGATGGTACGCTCCATATGCGTTGGTTTGATCTTGCGTCTGTGCAAGGCCAGTTCGCCCTGCGGCGAGATGATTGCCTGTGCTATGTAGGTGCTGTTGGAGGGACTTCTCTCCGAGAAACCGAGCACTACAGCAATGGAGTGCTTTTTGGCTACAGCCTTGACTTGCTCCATCTCTTCTGACTCTATAGCCAAGGAGTTATAAATGTACCTAGTCTGGAGTTCGAAATCCACAGGACGAGCCCTGGCGTATTGCATATATTAACGCAGCCCCGCGGAACAGGACGGGAATAGGGTCAAATACGGACCATATCCACGCGGGATATCCGGGGACCCAGGCCTCCGCGAACGCAACGATCTTGGCGCCGTTCCCCGCGGCCTCGGCGATAAGTTCGCTGGCCTTTCGGATTGACCCCGCAAGGTCGAGCCATACCGGCTCGGCTTGTATAACAGCAACTCGAATGGCAGTCATCGTAATTACGAGATAGGTCAATAAAAGATAGAAGTATCTTTGGATATACTTGTTGTGTTGTAAGAGGTAGGCACGAAGCTACCTTATACGTGCTTTTATATCCAAGATTTAGTACGAATAGGGGTAGTGCTTATCCTTAAAAATGACCTGCTGGAAATCAATCACACCATATGCTGTGTGAGCAGTGGTTACTCTATATACCTTTAAGTGGGCAAGTCACATAACTTGGCATGGGGATGTTGGAAGACTTGGAAGGGTAGAGATGTCAGAGTGAGATGTTGAACCTATTAGGTATAGGTATTGTTACGTATTCATTTATCAAGGTTGTTTCATCGTCCTGATAATATTATAACCTCCTTTCTAAGATAATTAAGGGAATCGACAACTCACTTGAACCAAGCGAAACGGAGTTTCCACAGCAGACAGGATAAAGATATACATGTACCTAACTTAGTATGGCTACATCTCTTAGAGTTTTATTCCTTCATCGTTTCAATATAAGTCTAGGCCTTGGTATACGTACCTAGGTATTGTCTACCGACGTATCTTGTCTGAATGGGACTGAGTTTGATAGGATCGAAAAACTGGAAAGTTATTCATGCGGGAAGCAGGCTGGTTATAGTAAACCGGCATTCATTCTCGATTCATGGCTGGTAGAACATACTTCAACATCGAGTAGAGCTCTCATACCCCTTGGCCTATATACGGAGTATTATAGGCAAAGCCCGCCCAACTTGGCCGGTACAAAGTACCCCAGCCTTGTGAATATTGCAACCCATTCTAGTACATGTGATCGCAACGCCATTTCTGCCTAATATATCTATTATCGATTGGCCATGTACAATTCAGACACATAATTAGCTGGCAGCATATCACTGGAGACAATTGGCAAGAGTCTCGGTTTGATATTTTCAGCCTCATACAGCCCAGATTGTTCGACTCCAGACTATCGTCTTTCATACATGCATGGACTTATCTAGAAACAGTACAATTCTACATCCACTCGGTCCACGTAGCCTTCCCATTGTGGCTTTGGAGGCTCGATGATACATACGATACATCGAATGTAACATAGTATGGCGCGTGATGAGGATATTGGTAGGCAGTGTAGGAGCATTTACCGAATAATATAGCTTGGGCCGTAAGAGAGATTGGGCTACTATGCAGAGCCTGGGAGTAACTATTACACTTCCCTTTGAGAGTGCCTTGCACTGCCCGTTAGATAATTCTTTAAATCAGGTATGGAGGTTAGGTAGGTAGCCATGTATATATAAGACGATCGCAACCCCTGAGTTTTTAGGGGGGGAATCTAAGATATTAATAGACATACACTATTCCATTTACCAGCAATCCCATGGTCACAAGCAGCCTTGAATTAACTTCAAGGCTCTTAACCAATAGCACTGGCACTGATTACTGTCATTCCGACCTTGAATTATCCCGATCTTGTGTATCAACCATTAGCCATGCACCCCTTATACGATCAACTTCCACTTGATCCCTCAAGGAAAGAAACTCGCTTCTTAAGAATACTTTACAACGAATCCTGCGATGAACTTTGCGCCGAACTATACATAGGGCCTCTGGACGAACATGTCCCGTCTTTCAGAGCTATATCTTATGCTTGGGGTGATGCTAAGCCAGAGACATCTGAAACAACGCGTAACTACATCAACGTCAATGGCCACAAGTTCGAAGTAGCAAACAATGTTCACACCATTCTCAAGAGAATCCAGGCCAAGTTCCAGTGCAAGAATTGCGCTATGCATCCTCTGGATGTGTGGATCGATAGTATCTGCATCAACCAGGAATCTAAGCCCGAAAAGAACATGCAGGTACCATTGATGGGAGACATATACTCCAAAGCGTCTCATGTTATAGTGTGGCTTGGTAGCGGGAACAAGTATACTGACTTAGCGGTTAAGGTGATGACAAGGCTCGGTGCATGGAAAGAAGGGTTGAAGTACATCGACAAAGAGGATGATGATAAAGCGACACTCGAAGATATATACTCGTACAACCGACAAATTCTCGTCAGTAATTTATCTTCATATACTCCTATGGCCCCGCTCCTCGATGGCATCCTTGAAATGCTGGCAAGTGGGTGGTTTCGTCGGACGTGGACGTTGCAGGAAGTCGCACTGCCCTATGGTGATCTGTGGCGACTCCTCTATCGGCTGGGACCATTTCATGTGGTCGTACCATATCCTCAGTACGGTTCTGTTGAGACATCAACTCGACGGGTCAGGTGTGGAGCTTCCTAAAGAGCTCCAAGGCTTAGAGGATAAACTCAAACGCCTCCACGATCTTAGTCATGAATATCATCCAGATGCCGCCCAAGAGACCCGCAACCTCTATCAACAATTCAAAAGTCAAGGGGGTTGTCTGGATAGACATGTATATGCCACGCGTATGCAACTAGCTAGCGACAGGCGTGATAAAATATATGGACTACTGGGGTTGACCTCCGAGGAAGTCCGCAGGTCTATCTCGGTCGACTATGCCAAATCAGAAGTGGATGTCTTTATAGATTTCTTCAAATATTCTGTGCTCTCGAAATTTGGATTTCAGATACTATCGAGTGCGAATGGCCCGACAGACATTCCGGGATGGCCAACCTGGATCTTTTGTTCTGGAGAAAACTCAAATCGAATATACAATCAGATGATTAGGGAATATTATGAGCGTTGCTCGCTGTATAAAGCGTCTCTGGGATTGAAACCCATTTACGAGCTTATTACCTCCAATCGAGGTCTCGTGGTGTATGGAGTCATCATTGATGAAGTTTCCGGGATAGCAGATACCATGTTACCACATCCAGATCCAGAAGTAAAGCTCGTGCGGTTTAATGATGACTTGATTTTCGACTTCTTCCTCTCAACTGGTGCACCGGACGAAGGCGATTTGGGCCAAGTTTATTGTCCAAGGATTCCCGAATCAGCATCTAGACATTCAGACGAGGTGTATGCGTATGTGGAAGCAGTGCACTCCGCTTCAACTGAACGCTATACGCCCTTGAATTGGCGCTTTATGGACAATGCGGATATTACCAAATTGTCCCAAGATCCAAAAGTCGGGAGAATAAATAGCTGGGAATACAAGAAGCAAAAACGGATGGAGGAGGCTCTATGGCGAGTCATAATTGGAGATAATCTATCGGGGGATGAAGATAGCGTTGACGGTATCCCAGCTCCTAGGTCTGCTATGGCTACTGTTCTGACCCAGGGTTACAATCTAATCAGACACAGAGTTCGTCCTCATTCCAGCTCTGATCCCGACTCTGATCCCGACCTTGATGATGATGATGATGATGATGTCGGTTCTGATTTTGGTTCTGATCTAGGCTCTGACAGCTCTGCAAGGATAAAAAAAGCAGTAAACTACAAACATATGGTAGCGGAATGTCAAGGACGTATGGTACATAATCGACGTGCCTTCCGAACCTCCAACAGATTCATTGGTTTTGGCCCCGAAATTATGGAACCTGGGGACAAAGTCGTGGTGATTGCAGGTGCGGACGTTCCGTTCGTTTTACGGCCGTGTGGAACTAGTTTCTCCTTGATTGGGGAATGCTATGTGGAAGGGTTAATGCAGGGGGAACTTTTCCAACAGTACCCGGAGTTTGAAAGGGGGGAGGAATTTCTGATGAAACTTCAACGATTTACGATTTACTGAATAGGAGGTCATGACTATGTGGTAGCATAGTAGCCTACGAAAGACGCACAGTACGCAGCTACTACTACGGATTTTCTCATTCTAGATATCTCACACATTTAATTATCTTCCTAGTATTTGCCCATCAACAGTGGGAACTCTCATTGCATTAGTTGTTAGAAACTTCAGAGGCCTGTCACTCTTCTCAAATGTCTCGAAGATGTTCAAAATACTAAGCATATGCATCTTATGTCCTCCGTAACTCTGAATCTATGATACGCATTTCGACTCCGTACAAAGCAGCGAATTAAGCATCTATGTCAAAGTATCCAGTACCTCGTTATATTCGTGTTACATGAGCACCAATGTCTTAGTCGTCTTGTTAGGAATACCTTATCTTAAGAGGTAACCATTAAGGTATTTCAAAACGGCCGGTCATGCCATGTATCTGAGATTTATATTATGATTATCGCGTTTACATCAAGCGTCTGTACTATTCCAAAGACACCTGACCTAAGCACTTCGTCTCAGTGATACTACCTTAGGTAGTACCCATGCGTAGGTAGTACAACTTAATGAAAATAATAAGTTAATACACTTACATATAGACCTAGCGCGTATTAGCAGTTTATCGAGTCTCAGCAAAGTGGCTTATTTGTAGGTGCCTAACCTAAGGCTGAGGGAGTCTTAACGTAAACTCATTTCTCTCTTTAACCTGTGTAGCTAATGAGCAACATACCAAAAAACAAGTTGAAAGTTGCACTATGGAATTATTTGGACCACGCGTGGTAGAAGATGCGCTTCGCTCATTCCAGTTCGCAAGACCAGGCTACGACGGCGACGCGGGGCAAGGTTTTTTTCCGGCGGCTCAAGTTCTAGCCTGGGCGTCTGATAAAGACAGGGTGCAAAAACCCTTGGATGTAGTGGGAGAACATAGGCGTGGATGTCTTTATCGCCCGCTTATAGATCCGTATGAAATAAGAGTCTTGGAACTGAAGCCGGGGATTGGTAACGATAGACTCTATGGTACTCTACATCACTGCTCCATTGAGTATGGTTTAGGTAGGTAGTTAGTACGATGTTTGTCATGCAGGAGTATTCCTTCTAATTTGACGTTTCCAGATATTCCCGATACTCCTACTAAACTTCTACGGGGAGGGTATACGGAGTGGACCAGAACGAAGTTTGCCTTGACCATGAACCTACGAGAACCCGTATGGTACACGGCTTTAAGCTACACTTGGGGCAATGGCGTATTTGATCGGGTTATTGAATGTGATAGCTTCAGTAAAGCTATCACCGAATCACTCCATGCTGCACTTTGCCAGTTTCGAAGACCCGATCAATCAGTTATGCTGTGGGTTGACCAGATATGCATCAACCAAGACGATCCAGAAGAAAAGAGTGGGCAAATTCCGCTTATGTCGAGGATATATACGCATGCGTTGAACACGATCGGTTGGTTAGGGATGCCGACTCCTGAAACGGACAATGTTATACAACTTCTAGAGGAGATAATTTCGACATTACGATTTATTCAATCTGTCACATGTCCGGACGACTTTGAGGGACTCGATCTTCCCACTGCTGACTCTATCCTCTGGAAGGAGTTATGGGACTTTCTTTCCCGTCCGTGGTATAAGAGGCTCTGGGTTATTCAAGAGGTTGGCTTCCCCGACTCCTCACTCTTACCTTTCCCACAACTACCAAAATAAGAAATGCTAAATCTAAATTCGGAGTAGATGACACTTTCATCAGACTTGTGGCTTATGTGTGGTAGCCATATCACAACGTTCAATATTGTCTCACACGCATGCGTAAATCTCTTTAGCTGTGGCGTATCTCGCTGGCTGGATCAAACATACACAGCAAACGGGACCGACGACCATTGTAAGTGGATACATAATATCAGCATTGAAAAAGATGATATCGTACACGGCCAGAGGGGCCCCTTATTCATCCTTCTACGTCATACGCGAGATGCTCTCTGTCGGGATCCTAAAGATAAAGTGTACGGCATTCTTGGTATTTCCGACTCGTCCGACTTGGAGCCGGTGAAGATCGACTATAGCGATAACTATTCTGTAGCTAGGCTGTACCATGATGTGGCCTTACGAAAGCTGAATCAAGACTCCTATCATGAGACCATAAATGAGCTACTACCCGTCGTCGATCATAGCAACCCACAATCCGCTCTTCCATCTTGGGCACCTGACTGGAGCCAGCCGCGACAGACGGTTACAATAGGGGGTAATAAATCAAGCTACGCGATATATAGCGCGGCGGGAGATAACAAGGCCACCTTCTCAATCAATGACAATAAAGATACCGAGCTAAACATACTAGGGACCTTCTTCGACACTATATGCCATCGCAGTCGCGTTTTTACCAGCCCGGATATCACAAACCGAAATCCGCTCACAGAAAACAAGGACTTGCTCACGTGTATCGGATTATGCGAAGACCTGAATGAGTATCCAGGCAGCAGCACAGTCTTCGACGCTTTCTGGCACACTTTGGTTGCCGATAAGGACGATGCTGGTCTGAGGCGAAGTCCGGATTCATTTGCTGAGATATTCAGTCTTCTCTTGGACGAGTCGTCTGGTAAATCGCCAACTCTGTCCGGGCAGACGTACACGGCTCGCCAGAAGCAGCCTGAAGGAAAGGGCAAATTGACGCTGGCTCACTTAGGTACCAGAACTCCAGGACGGACGTTTCAGGAGGTGCGCACTGCTCTATATAATGCAATGCGTAGTCGGCGACTAGGAATCACCCGTCGAGGTTATCTAGGACTGTTCCCTAGAGAGACGCAGGACGGCGATACTGTCTGTATCCTGAAAGGCTGTCACGTACCGTTTATTGTACGAGTTTCTAACGCCGCAACTGTTCGTTTGGTTGGTGAATGCTACGTTCATGGAATTATGCGGGGTGAAGCTATGCATACGGAAGGCTTTAGGTGGGAAACTATTACAATCATTTGATAAGGTGCTGCTACTTTACGTCGACGTGGTTAAGGATATGAATAGTGAGTAGGTTAAGGGGTTATTGATACACTACTATAAAAATAGGGGTAATATAGTGTATCAACTTCCTTATCCAAGGTCATTTATGAGATATGATAAGTCGTTCCCCAATCCCCGCCCTCCCCCATGCTGATGTAAGCTTTCCCATGGGGTAAATCCAGCCGAAATTTACCCCAAGCCGACCTTAAACCGGCGGAAATTTCCTATTTGAGCATTTAAACTTGTCTCGGCGGCGGCGTTTGCGCTTTATCAATTCCAACAGCGTGTTGCTCCCTGCATACCACCACTACATAAACGGTCTCCGGTCGTCGCAGTGGAGCTATTATTCAAACACATTTTCCTGCTGTCCACGAATGGCCGTGATTGGCAGATAAGACCCTTACAGTTCTTTGCAGGTAAGTTTTAGTGGTTACCTACGAATGGGGTAGCACCTCTTTATGTAGTTGGTAGCCGGCCCGTTGTCTGGGGATGCTGGGGTCAGACTACCTCATACACCGATAGGATCGTGAAATGCTTTCTCCAGCGTCATTTCTCAGAATGTTCAGCGTCATATAACTCGCCAAGTTGTCACGTAATACAGGGTATCCCACCACTACGAATTGATAATTATTAAGCAGCCAACCCTCCCATTTTTATCAGTCCTCTTACTATATACATTTTTCTTCTTTTATAAGCAACCTATCTTTGTTCCTCTAAATCTCAATTAACTAGTTAAGTCTTATAAGAAAGATTTACCCCGAGGTCATGAGATAAGTATCCAAGCAGTTATATAACTATTCAAAAATGAGTTCTTCATTATTTGGGTCCCTCGTCCAAGTCGAGTCCACCACGATCCGGCACGACGAACATCTTCTTCCCATAGCCCCCCAGAGGGTAAAATCAAGGACATACCCAGCGGTCCCCCAGCAAGACTCGATTGAGTTGGAGCCCCTTCGACATCCTCTCAACAATGCTGGCATTCCTGGTACCCCGGGCCCCGCCACTCCCAGAGAGGAGACGGACGTTGAGATGAGCGCCCCAGGAACCCCGGTCGGACCAACCGATACCTTCGACGCTCTCCCGACTCTAAACGACCCGCCTATGAACAAGTTCCGTCTAGCAGCCTGCTGTTTCCAGAGCTTCGTGGGCGGATTAACCGATTCGGCACCTGGTGCCCTAATTCCTTACATGGAATCGTGAGTAGACTTCTGCCCCATGCTATGCTAATTCTTTCCCAAGCGCTCGTAAAGAAAAGACCGAGCATAGACTGACCGAGGTGAACGCAGTTATTACAATATTGGATATTCCGTAGTAGCCCTTATCTTCATCGGCAACGCTCTAGGATTCATCATGGCCGCGCCATTCGTCGACCAGATCCGCCAGCGTCTCGGGCGAGCTAAGACCATCGCTTTGGCGCAGCTCTGCATGGGCATCGGGTATATCCCCCTGATCTGCGCGGCGCCTTTCCCCGCGGTGGCGGTCGCCAATTTCTTCATCGGCTTCGGCCTCGCCGTCCAGCTCGCCATCGGCAATGTATTCTGCGCCAACCTAGCCAATAGCACCACGATCCTCGGGGCTTTCCATGGAAGCTATGGTATTGGCGGTACGATTGGACCGCTCGTTGCGACTTCCATTGTATCTTCTGGTGCTATCTGGAGCCGGTACTACCTTTTGACTCTCGGCCTTGTTATTTGGAATGCCGGCTTTTCGACCTGGGCTTTCTGGAATTACGAGAAAGATGTTGGCGGCAGCGATTCGAACTTTCTATCCGAGACTAGCTCGCGTGGTCTGGACCACGTATCAACTATGCTTATTACTTTCAAGTCGAAGGTCGTTCTCCTAGGGGCCATCTTCATCTTTGCGTACCAGGGAGCTGAAGTGTCTATCTCGGGATGGGTTATCTCCTTTTTGATCTCCACTCGCGATGGCAACCCTTCGTCTGTCGGTTACGTGACGTCTGGCTTCTGGGCTGGCATCACGCTCGGGCGGTTCGCCCTCTCACCCGTCGGCTCCAAAATCGGCGAGAAGCTATTCGTTTACATCATCGTGGCCGGGGCTGCCGTCTTCCAGTTACTAGTCTGGTTAGTCCCTAATATCATCGGCGAAGCCGTGTCGTTGGCTATCGTGGGGTTGCTTTTGGGTCCTGTCTACCCCTGTGCTGCATATGTATTCACGCGTAACCTCTCGCGTCGCGAGCAGGTCAGTGGTATGAGCGTCATCAGCGCTTTTGGTAGTTCTGGTGGCGCCATAGCGCCGTTCACTACGGGTCTCTTAGCTGAGGCTGCTGGTACGTTCATCATGCACCCTATCGCTATTGGTTTGTTTGCCCTCATGCTAGTATGTTGGTTCGGGCAGCCTGGAATTAGGAAGAGGACGGAGTAATGAAGTATGCCAATACCACATATTAACTAGCCATATTCTATACGTAGATAGATAGGACGATGGCGGAATGGTTTTCAGGCGAGGACTGCTTTGGGAATTATACTGGTTACGTCTTCAATAACGAATGTCCACGTTACTACTACAGTCCCATGATAACACACAGCGAGCCTTGTGGATAAATTATAATAAATTATTATTTAATACCTAAAATCATTCATATTTATTTCCCCCTTAGCCCCTTTACCCCGTTTCTTAAGCTAGATAAGGTACATTTGTGAATTATCTTGTCAATGGACAATTATTTGATAGATTTTCTCCGATAGCAAGGATACCATATATCATCAGTCACAGAGGGTGGGTAGTCAAAGCTGCAAAATATTTTTTTAATATTGTTAGGCGGCGCTTACATGTCATCGAATAATATTAAGCCCGTCTACCTGTCTATCCGTTTGTCTAAAGATAATATCTATCTGCACACTAAATGCATATGCCATGTTGTTGGAATATTTCGGGATGATCAGACCCCAGGCTGAAATCTAGAGATAAAAGAGGGAAAATATTCCTCTGGGAATATGAAGGTTCAAGATTTACACTCTTCCCTTAGCCGCTTCCTTAACAGTGATCTTGCCTTCGACTACGTCCGCAACAACCTTGTGGATGTCGGAGAAGTCGTTGAAAGTGACAAATGGCACCTTCTCATTTTCGCAGTACGTGACGAGGTCTAATGGGTTAGCATAGCGTCTTCAGAACCTTAAGAGTCGTTGGAATAAAGGGAAACTTACCTCGTCCGGCCTTGGCGAATAGTAGATCGGTTTCCTTAGCAGCAGACAGGTCTGAGACGCCGTCTCCGGCGTAGAACATGATAGGCCGCTCCGGTAGCGCAGCATACGGTCTAATTTCGAGAGACTTGTCGTGTCCAAAGTCGCTGTATTAAGTAGAAAATGTATATATTAGCTACTAGTCCCTAACATGGAGCTATTTTTGTAGGTACATATGCTTCTAGGAGTTTATTCGTTTTCCGAACAAGACACAAAATACGAAATTTAAAGTGTTTAGAAGACAATGGCGTAGAAAAAGAATGGAAAGAAAAGAAACTTACCTGTCATCGTGGTACTTGATGTTCCAGCCATTCTCTTCGTTGATGCTCTTGCCAGGCCTAGCCTCAACGTCATTGCTGACGATCTGCATATGCTGGACGGCATCCTCGCCAACAAGGTGGGCGAGTAGAGCACGGATGATGGGCTGCATGCCACCGCTTAGAACAACAACAGGGACATTGTTTGCACGAGTCCAGGCGAAAAACTCGGCAAAGTGAGGATCGAGTTGAATATTCTTGAGTAGAGTGGCAATGCACTGGTCGTAGGGGGTCTTGATGCTATCCATCATCTCCTGGAAGCTATCGCGGAACGTGCGCTTGCCAAACAACACGTCGTGGTTGCCCTTCTTGCGCAGCTCAGTGCCGAATCCTAGGTTATCTGTCATAAAGTCGTTGCTGTCCTGCAGCGTGATAGTGCCGTCGAAGTCGGTGAAGAAGATGGCCTTGGGGTTAGTACGCAACGCGGGAAGCGCACTGTTGACCCCATTGGTGCCATTGGTGCTGGTCGTTTGGGCCATGATGTCTGTATATTGTTTGATGTGATTTTGAATCTATCTAGTAGTGTAGATGTTGTTGTTGACTGTATTTTCTCTAATATGTATCCAATTGTTGCTCGTCTCTTATACTCTCTATCTTGTTTGTATATGAGAGATTTTGATCTAATATCTTAGGAAAAGGAGTGACGTCACACGGTAAATGAAGGGTCCTCTGCGTGCTGCGCTACCTTACGTCTAGCAAACTCGTGAAAAAAAGATGGCCGAGTTGCGAATTTATAGATGTTTACTGTTCAAATAAGAAAAGGAAAGAAAAGAAAAGGATGAGCGAAATAAAGTTTCCCAAGGGTCTGCGCCAATGCCAACACCGACTCCAAACACATGCGACAAGCAAGAGCGATCCGCGGGGCTCTTTCTATGTAGGTATGTATCTGCCACACTTCTGCCCCTCCATCAAATTTGTCGATCGGCGATGCTTTTCTGCCAAAAAGGAAAGGGCCCCCACTGAGGCTTATTATCGATCTTGGCAAAGCTAGGTACCTAACCTTATGCTTTAGTGTGCGTTATAAGTACTAAGTACCTAGGTATATGCACCATAACTGGCTGCTTATGTGCTTTAGGTCGTAGCTACCAGCCATTGCCCAACTGTGGTCCCGGTAAGGCGGTGGGCGGTACCTAGGCAATAGGCGGTAGTCGGATAATTCCCGGCGCTATTTCAACTTCTTTTCTCGGCCGGACTACACAGCGTCATATTCTGTCCCGTCCCTTACCTACTTTCACCATAGATTGATAGATTGATCACACGCCAATTCAATCGCAGCAAAGAGGAAGGGTAGCCCGACCCATCCTCTAGCTTGCCTTGAAATGTCGACTTCGAGGGCCTTGAAGCCCATTTTCGGGTCTGGCTACCGGCTTCTTCTCGATCAATTGGCACCTCGGTCCACGAGGAAGCTCGTCTCGAGCCGGCCACCCCTGACATGCCCGACCTGCCGGCATAGCTCCGTTCTTTTTCTAAGCCGCCAGCTTCGCTTCTCTTCATCCTCGTCTTCTTCCTCCAACTCTACTCCGCCGGACCCTCCTAGGAATGATGAAAGTGATAAAAAGTCTACCGAAAATGAACCTGTTTTCCCCTTCTCCTTCATCGAACCACCTCCACAACCGGAGCCCGAATCGACACCGACACCGACACCGAAACCCCCGCCACAGCAACCACCGCCACCCCCTCCCCCGGAAAACCACTCCAAGGGGAACCCCGAGCTCCCCTCGGCCCAGAATTCTCGGCGCTCCGCTCTTAACCGCTCTCTCAGCACGTTCATGGACCGCGCGCAGACGACGCTCTTCGCCGCGTCCCAGCGGATTAATGACCTGACGGGATACTCCGGGATCGAGACGCTAAAGTCCCAAATCAGCGGTCTCGAATCCGAGCTTGCGGCCGCACAGGCTCGGCTACACGCTGCGCGCAGTGCCTACAAGTCATCGGTATCCTCGCGGTCCGCGACGCAGCGAGAAGTCACGACGCTACTGGCACGGCAGAAGATGTGGTCGCCGACGGACTTCGAGCGCTTTACGGCCTTGTATCGACAGGACTACGAGCTGGACGCGGACGTGGCAGCACGGGCAGCCGAGCTCGAGGAGGCGGAACGCGAGGTCGAGCGTCTGGGCCGTGAGCTGAGCGCCGGCATTTTGAGCCGCTACCACGAGGAGCAAATATGGAGTGACAAGATCCGCCGCATGAGCACCTGGGGTACTTGGGGCCTTATGGGCGTCAACGTCCTCATGTTCCTCGTTTTCCAGTTCGGTGCCGAGCCCTGGCGTCGCCAGAGGCTCGTCAAGGGTTTTGAGGAGAAGGTCCGCGAGGCTTTAGAAGAGGAACGCCGACTTGAGAGAGCCTTGAGGGGGGCCGAGAAGGAGAGGAGGAGGATAGAAAAGGAAGCTGCCGCCGCTGCCGTTGAGACCACAGTTGCAGCCGAGGCAGTCGACGCTGAACCGGCTACAGTGGAGTTAAAACCGGAAGAACCAGCCGATGGTATCATAATAGGGCCGCCGATCACATCGTGGCGAGAGTCACTCTCGAATCCGGAATGGTGGAAAGCCGCGTATGCCGACTTATCAAGTGATAAGAAAGTCGCCCTTAAAATGCGAGATATTTCTATAATAGCGCTCGAGGGCGCCGCCGCTGGTGCCGCAACCATCGGTACCATAGCCGCCATCATATTTATCCAAAGATCTTAGAATAGAGCAAATTATTGAGGGTATGTACTCTAACTTCAACGCCCACAGCTGTACAATACGATACCCCCCCAAAAGACCGCCCCCTATCAGCACACCATGTACATTCACCTTGTATATAAATTCGAAGAAAAAAAAAGAAGGATGACGTTTACATTATCTGCTGGTCTAATTAATGGGAACAAGCTACTATACGTCGGGGTAGACTGCGATAGCATCTGCTTGCCGCTCCTCGACTAAAAATTCTAAATCGCGCCCAACAGTAATCGACTTTTTTTGAGTATTCGCCCAGCGAATGGCATTTCACGTAACGCCTATGTATCCGTGGCACGAGTAGTAAGTACGCCGTGGCCTATAGTGATATCGACCGTGCAACATTTCTTTCTTGATCAATGCGCCTCGAACCAAGCAGATCACCTCGCCGTCGCATACCACGGATCCTAGGGCATAGCAAAACGATTGAATCCTCCGCTCAATCCTGGGATTTATCACTGCTGCTGCTGTTCCTGTCCTCAAGTTCTAGTCTTGGCGCCTAGTCAAAATCCGCCGTGTACGAGAATCCGCGGAACTCTTCTTGCATAGCTTGCGAAAGCACTATAACTTCATCAGTATGAGCGACTTATGGGGGTAAACACAATTATCCTTACCTGACTGCACCGGCGTCAAAACCGGTGTAACGCTAGTAAATTCTGAATCGAAATTGCTGGTATCCGTTGCGTTCTTGATCGTGGGCATGAAAGGAGGGGCCACTCTCTTGTGATAAATATCATCCCATACGATGTTTCTGAAAAAGGGCTGACTCATGACCTCCTGAGCATCAGTTGGCCCGCTTCCTAATCGTTGGTCGGGGTCTCTCGTGAGCAGTTTCTGTAGGATCGAGACCGATTCCCTGGGCATGTGGATAGGATAGAGAGGCTCATCTGCAAGAATCGCGTCGTAGATCTCGTCCTCGTCTTCACCTCGGAAAGGTGATTGTTGTAAGAGCATCTGGTAAATTAACACGCCAAAAGCCCACCAGTCTACCGCTCTGCCGTACTTCTTATCCAGTAATATCTATCATGATGTTAGAGACAGTATAGAGGCATACGAGGTGAAGGGCACACGTACTTCGGGGGCCATGAACTCGGGTGTACCGCAGAAAGTACTAGTAGTAGAGCCATACCACATGTCCTCTTTGCAGA